TTTAAATAAAAAGGTCTTAGCCTGGCGCCAAAAAACAAATAACGACGGCACCAGGCGGACCTCTCTGGGGAGCGCATTCCATAGGTGGGGCGCCACTGCAGAGAAGGCCCTCCTCCGGGTACTCACCCTCCTAATATCCTTCACAGAGGGTTCCCGGAGAAGGGCATCTGCTGCTGATCTCAAGGGGCGGGAGGGCATATATGGACGCAAGCCTTCCTTTAGATAACCAGGTCCCAACTGGAGCTGGCTTAAGAATGGGTTCCTCATTTCCTGCCTGATCATGCTAATTTTGTGTTTACTCCCTTGCTTATTGCCCCAAGCAATGCTCAGGCCAGAAACAGCATTTAAGGAATTAAAAGCACCAGGAAAGACCCAGCAGTACCCTGGTATTGCTTGGCTCCATGGGAAAGTGCCTTCACCTCCCATGGGTATGGGACCCCGATACTCAGTGGCTTTGCATTGCTTGTATGCATGGTGAATATTTCGAGGGTAATCCAAGATAAGATCTTAGAAGGCCTTAAAGGGGGGAATTGTCAGAAAAGGCCAGCCATTCTGCAATGATGCTTGCTTGCTGTAACTTGCAAGGGGACCCTACCCAGACCATTTCTGTGACTCAGCCCGTGAGGTTGGCCTGGGCCAGGCCATGGGCCAAAGGCCTCTGGGCAGCCTTAGCAACAGCTTTGGGGCGGCTGACAGCAGCTCCTGATTTAGGCTCTGTGTATTTAAAGATGGAGATCAATTAATCAGTGAAAGTTTTACATGCCTAAGGCTGCAGATCAGTTAGTCAGTTAGAAGCTAAATCAAGATGCCTAGACGCTTGGAAAGTAACACCTGGTATGACCACAAGTGTTAAGGAGCAGCAGTTATCAGAAAACCTTCACTAATTCTAACCACAAACTAGGTCTGGGAGACATCCAGCTAGACCTCAAATGCCTCAAGAAACCGTTCTCAGGAAGTACCGGTGAAACACCTAGCCACAAGACCCCACTAATGCCTCTCTCTAAAGGGAGGCCAGGATTGGTCAGCCTGGAGTTGGAGAGCACCTGGACATGCGCGGTCCGAACTGTTTCCCAATCTGTAACCTGTAAAGACCATGCCCAAACCATAGCTTTTTGTTAGCTCCGCGTTTGGGCATGAGCCACGCTGCTGACCTCTTTTGCAGGCAAAATGAATGGTTTAAGCCTCTGCTGGGTGTTGCTTCCCTTTTTCCTGATAATTGAGACCCTCCAGGAAAAGGACGGAGAGCATTTCTGCAACAGAGGTAGCTCAGCAGGGTGCCTTGGAGCACTTGTGCTTCATTACCCACTCCCTGGGATTCCTCAGCAGGAAAAATCCTCAGCTTTGCCTCTGCGTATACAAGCAAAAAAACTAAGCTCTTTTTCAGAGCGCTGCAATGAGTTTCTACTAGTTTATCTTTCTGACATCTAAGTTTAGAATTATGAGGATGGTGGGTTTAGCCACAAAATAATTTTTATTGGTTATTAGCTTTCGGGAAACATACCTTTTTCACTATGGGATAAAACAACTGCCCCTGCCAAGGGCTCACTTCCACTGGGCTGAGATTCTAATTACAAATTACCTATAAAATTTCATCCTCAGACTTAGTCTCTTTGAAACAACCAAATCATGAGTCCAAAGTTGGTCTCTCTCAGACTAACTTTTCTGCACAGAACTTTGTATATGCTCTGAAACCTACAATACAGTGACAGTAACATGTAAATATGCATTTATGTATTAAGTTGATATCCCTCCTTTTTGACTTTTCAGGAGCTCAAAGCAGCTTACACAATTCCCTTCTCCTGCTCTCAGTCTTATTCTCACAACAACCCTGTAAGGTGGATTGAGCTGAGAGTCTGTGACTCTCTCAAAGTCACCCATTGAGCTCCCTGGCTGAGGGGAGAGTAGAACCCAGATCTCCTGAGTCCCAGGCCTGCCCTCTGAACCACCAAGTCATGCCGGCTGTCAGTGGACTTGACTGATTTTTATCTGAAGTTCTGTATCCTGGTCTTCCTCTTCTTTTTTTGGTTTCCCAAAGTAAGCTCTTGTGTATCTTAATGCTTGGCTGTGTTGTTCTAAAAGGGAATTTCTCACTCATACTTTCCCCATATGGACAGCATGGTTGCTAAGCTACCCCTTGCATTCTTAGGATATTTCACTACATTTTGTTAAATTGTGGCTTCTGGACTTCGGATAAATAAACTGAATGCACCCTTTTTCCCTAGAAAAGCAGCCTGCACTGTCACTTGGGAGTAGCTGTATTTTTAGGGATGTCACGTGAAGCTTCATATGCAATCTAGAAAGTGTGCCACAGCCAAGAGGGGCTCTCACTGGCCATGTAAGGGCACAAGCAGAGGGATGCTCAGATAGGAAAGACTCCTAGAATTCCCTCAGATACTGGCTGGGAATAAGGCAGATTACCGTTTGGGGGAGACTGAACGGGGGCCTTGGCATAAGGTGCCAAATGTATGCGGAAGGCACTCAGCTCTACCGTAAACTGCACTGTCTCATACTTCGCATCTTGCACATTATTTTCATGAATGGAAGCATTTGTGCACACTTGCACATGATAAATGAATCTCTGTACGCATTTGGGGGCACATGAATACCAAAGGATGTCTGCATTTTCGTTCAGGCTGAGAAAATGGAAGAATGCCAGGTTGTGGCTTGGAAATGTTTTGCAATGAAAAACTAATCACAAAATCTTCTAGCTCTGTAGTTATCAAGATCCCAGCAGCAGATGACACAAAAAGCATCGTAAAGAGCAAAAGAAAAAGCCAACTCTGCATCCTGAGATAGCTCCATCCTAATAAGAAGAGCAAATGGGAAAGGGTATGAAAAAAATGAGATGTCCTAGTATTTTATGTAGCCTTAGTAGGAAACTCTCAATTTATTTAAAAGGCAATCTGCAAGGTGCCAGATTTTCTTAATGGATCAAAGAGAAAGGGCTGTATGGGATGCACCTGAGGATGCTGCCTTTCTCCCTCTTCTTACTGCAGCCCTGAAAAAGTTACCTTAGCCCTCTGGGTCAAGTATGGGGCAGGGGTTTGGGGGCGGGGTGGAGTGAGTGGAAGGAGGGGTAGAGGCAGTCTGTAAGAGACAAAGAAATGCTCTTGGTACAAGCCAATAGTAGAAGGGGAGAGCACAAAATGGTCAGTGGGCAGTGATTACTGCTGAATGAGTTGGGCAGGTTCCATACACTTTGTAGCGAGAAGTAGAAAGAGGGTAGCTGTGTTGCCTAAGGGATGGAGATGTGAAGAAATATGGCATCTGAGGGGACACCGGATATTTGGGATTCCCCAGTGTGAGACTGGAGGGAGTGGTCCACTCTCCGAGCTGGGAAACCTAACCCTCACCACAATAAGAATCTAGGCAGCTGCATGGGGACCTTGCTTTTTCTAACCTTAACCCAAACCTGGCCTTTAACCATAACCCTAAAAGAGGCATCAAATTCCCAACCTTCAAGACTGAATTCCAACATGAAAGAATTTTCCAAATTTTTCTGAGCAGCTAATTTTTTTGACCTGTTCCAAACGTGACCCAGTCCCCAGAACCCTAAGAGGGAACCTAATTTTTTTTTAAACCAAACAGGGTCTTAGCTCTAATCTGAATAAACGGTGGAAAATGGATGTTTCAGGAATGTATTCCAAAATGTCAGCTTACTCATTCTTACAATCATAATAAGGAAGCTGCAAGTACTGAATACTTCACATGAACCCTGTTTGTTCGTTCGGTCATTTGTTCATTCTTAACAATAACCCTAACCCGAACCTTAACCCTAATCCTAATATCAGGCTGAAATTGCCATGCCTCGCAATAGAATTCCAATGAGCCACCTTGCTGAAGGTTTTTCTGCTCAGTTCATTTTTATCTGTGCAACATAAGCATGTTGCAAGCTGAAAGTACAGCGGGTAGAAACTGATTGTGCTAACTGTAAGCATATCTGGATGAAATACCCATGAATCACCACAGAAGTCAAATAATCCAGCTTTCTGGATTTTTTTCTGCAAAGCTCATTCTGTATGCCCGTTCTAAGAACATTGCATGTCCTAAATCATTCTTGTGGAACCAGGTTTTTATAACCCTAAGAAGGTAAACATGTTGCAAGCCCAGATACAGCCGGCATAACCTGGTTTGTCTAATCCTAGTCCTAAAACAAGCTTCAACCCTAATATTAATATTGGGGTGAAAGGCTCATGCTTCAGCATGAAATGAAGGTCCACCTTGTAGGAGGTTTTTCCACACAACCAATTTTTTTCCAGCCAAGGGAAGCACGTCACAGGCCCAAATTGCAGCAGGTAGAACCTGGCTTTTCTAACACTAACCCTAACCTGGGCCTCATCCCTCATCCCTAACACTAACCCTAATATAAGGCTGAAAGGCTGATGCCTCAGCATAAATTGGAAAGTCCCCCTTGTAGAAGGTTTTTCTGCACAGCTCATTTGCTTCAGAGGGAGTGGGCAAGGTAGGGATGACCCAAGAGGAGAAAATGGCCAGCACCCCATTCTGCACAGAGAGTGGGCTGGTGGTTGGATCTTGCTTCTGGGCTTGAGACATTCCTGAAGTCTGTGTGTCCTTTTGTATTCCTCCAGTGTGATAAACTAAGAGTATAGGAAGAGTCCTGCTGGATTGGAAGAGAGGTCCGACTAGTTCATCATGGGTCTACTAAATACCTGGGGCCGCACAAGGGCAATAGCTCCCGTCTGCTGTCGCTCCCTGGAAATGTTATTAGTATGACCACTGTGATGGAAGCATCTGCGACATCTGCTTCTACCATTAATGCTTTTAGACAATGACATTTTTACATTCTGTTATGGTCCATGGCCACTGTGGAATTGAAATGGAAATGGGTGGTTTAGTGGTTTATGAGATATCCTAATAGCTGGAGGAAGTTCTATGAAGCAGCTGTTCAAACCTGTTAAAAATATGGGGCTCCTTTACACCTGAGACATTTCCAGACTGAGAGATTCTAAGAGCTGTTCTTCTTGTTTCCACAGGATACCATGAGTTTGGCAGGGCATGGGAACATAACCAGAAGCTGCAGAGATGACTTGAGCAGCTTCTTCCAAGAGCAAATATGGCCCATTTTATTGCTGCAATTCCTTCTGGCCATCGTTGGGAATGGCTTTGCTATCTACCGCTTCTTGACTTACAAGCAGAAGTGGAACATCAACATGGTCTATTCCTTCAACTTGGCTGTCAGTGACCTGCTTTATGCGTTCTCCCTGCTCCCCATAATACTTTACTACTTTCCACCCAAGGACTGGATATATGGCCATGCTCTTTGCTCACTGGACCGTTTCTTCTTCTTCTGCAATCTTTATGGTAGTACCTTTTTCATTGCATGCATCAGCCTGAATCGCTGGGTTGCGATTGTCCACCCCATCTTCGCCCACGGCCGCATGAAGTCCTACCACGCTAAGCTCCTCAGTGGAGCAGTATGGTTGCTGGTTGCGGCCATTTCCACGCCTGTCCTCAGTTTTTCCACACTGAACTATGTCTCTGAATACAACATAACACAGTGCTTAGGAAGTGCCTCTTCTGAGCAGCTGCCAAAATACTGGCCTTACAGCTTGTTCCTGCTGGCCTTTGGATTTGGTCTGCCCTTTGTCCTCACCAGCATCTCCTGTGGAGGCATCATTTATACAATTCATCATAATCACAACGTCACGGCAATGAACAAGTGCAAAGTGAAAGCGCTTGTTTCCGTGGTCGTCATCCTCTACATCATTTTCTACCTACCCTTTCATATCCTACAAAATCTGTACCTCAGTCACCGCATGAGGACGAAAGAGGACTGTGGAGCGCTTATACCCACATCCTTCCAGGTAGCCAAGATTTTGGTCCACTTTCATATTTGCATCCACCCCTTGGTCTACACTTCCCAAGCCAACAGCATGCAGAAATATTTCAGCAGATGTTTTCAGCGGTGGAACAATGTGCCTGGGGAAGGGAACAATGTGGAACTGAGGCTGCAAGACCGGCTCCCTTCTTAAGGCCCCTAGGACCAGGGATGATGGCACCCTTTGCTGCTAGCAGGCCTAGGGGTGTTTACTGACAGACCCTTCACGACCATGTGGTGAAGCTTCTCGAGGGGCTGCAGCTTAGTGCTGGAGGGGCTGCTAAGCATGCTGGTCTCAGGTTCACTCCCTCCCATCTTCAGGTGTGTGTGTTGGGGGAGCGGGGAATTCAGAGAGAACCCTGTCCAGGACCTGGAGAGCAGGTCAGTGTGGACAGTACTGGGCCAGATGGACCACAGGTCTGAGAGATCAGTTACAGAGGCAGTTATCTTCTTTTTGAAGGGTTGTTCAGTTCAAGATAAACTGTAAGAACGTGAGCTTGAAGTCATTCATCAATGACAGTTCACCCCTGGACTACAGGTACCCAGAGGTCACCTGGACACACTTTTCCCCATCATCAGATGTCTTGTATTGTTGTTTAAATGAGAGTATTTATTTCTAAATATGCAGCTGTACATGTAACTCCATATGCAAATTTTATGCATAAAAGAGCTTCAGTTCTCCATTATCAACTGCCAGTTTGATTTTTTTTAAAAGCCTCTGGCCTCTGTTCATGTGTTACTTTCATGTAGTTGAGCTGCTGTTCCACAGAACTTGCAGGATACCTGCAAGAATTGTACATTCCATTGAAGGTATTTCAGGCAAATCTGCAGACAACCCCTAGGAGGTTCCTCTAACTGCTACCCAAGATATACAAAGCAGGCAATCCTGGGCACTGCCTTGTTCTAGGGTTGCCTTTGCTAGGTCCTGTGGGTAGGTCTGCTGGTCAGTTTTAGAACTTGACCTTCAAAAACTCCCTGGTCTGCAATGGAGGGAGGAAGATTGTATTTGCATATGTGGGCTCATCAGGCAGCAGGTCATCAGCTTCATCCCTGCATCACCGTTTTGCACCAGGCTCTGCCCTTTTCAACCATCAGGTTGCCCTTGTCCCTGCTGCAGTAGATCATTCTCTGGGTGTCAAGAATTAAGCAACAGGCTGAATGCACAAGACCAGGTGTGCTCCATGTGAGGATGGCCAGGTGTTCCCTTTTCTAGAGCTCAGTCCACTGTTTGAAAAGGTGCCAGAGGACTGTCCTCCATTATGAAGGTGTCCTCTGTTTGAAGAGCAATCCACTCCAAATTAATAATTAATGCTTATTTTGTTTGGTCAGTTTCTTGTTCTTTGGTATTTTATAGTTATAAACTGGCAGAGGACATTTTCAAGTTCAGTGATTTAAAAAGCTAAGCCAGTAAGCTACAAATTCTGTTGCTGATTCCCATCTTCAACAAAAGATCAGAGATTCAAGAATGAAATTGCCACACTAGAATTTGAATCAGCACATTTGATTCTGTTCATTTAAGCCTTAAGTGTTTCTCCCCTACAATGGGTGTTAAACTAGCACAGCAAAGCTACCAATTGTTGGGATATTACATTGCGTTTATATCCCACTGTTTTGACTCTTGAGAAAAACCCAAGGTGGCTTCCAGAGCTCTATTTTATCCTCACAAAAGCAACCTTGTGAGATAGGTTGGGCTGAGAATGGGTGATTGGCCCAAAGTCACCCAGTGAGCTCCATGCCCAAGTGTGCACTAGGGCCTTGATTTCCCAGGCCCCAGTCCAGCACTCCGAGCACCAGACCTCACCGTCTCTCACCAGTTAGTTATAGTTATTGCCAGCAACTCTTGTTAAGCATAGTTACTGCACTTAACTTGCACTTAGGATGAGCTTTGCACTGAAGTAGTACAGATGGCCCTGGTGTGCAGAATGGGCCTTTCACCCCACTGCTTAGAATACTCTCCCTGTGCACACTGTAGCCCTTTGTTTATGGGCATGTGTGTATCTGCTGATTCACACCAGATCGTGCTACAATAAATGTTGACATTCAAGACCACACAATGCTTTGTTTGGTTTGTTGTACTAGGCAAAAACCAGTTTTGCTTTAGAAAGAATTGCAGGCTTGGAAGTGACTTGAACCTCTATTTGTTACCTGAAACCCAACTGCCTCCAACCACAAGTGATCCTTCTCCACTTGTGGAGCAAAAGGAAAGAGTGACCTTTCTCAGGATATCCTTCTCTACAGTGAACGAATGTGGATTCCAGCACCTGCGACTGTCCATGGATGCAAATGAGCTGGAAAAGGCAGGAGACCAGAGCCATTGGGCACTTGTTCTTGCTTAACAGCATCTATCTAGTCCCACCTTCACTGTTCTGATTCCAACAGTGAGAATGCATAGAAAGATGGGTCAACAATCTGCCAGAGGAGCAGATGCTCTGTCTTTTGCCTGGCATAGCTGCAGAAGATGGAATAAATCACCCTACACTGGTACTGCAGAGAACAAGAATCAGTAGAAACAAGCATCAAGTCACCATACCCACAACGGAACAAGTAGCTAACTAAGCAGCAGCAATTTTAAGGCTTGCTTTTTGTTTTAAAGAGGCTAATAAAAAGCAACAAGTTTTACAGAATACCTTCTCACTATATTTCTTCCTTTTCTCCAGGCTAGACCAATGAAATGGATCAATGCTAGTCTAAAGGGGTGGGTTCTCCTTTACACCTGAGGGCACCAACATTGGAAATTAAAGCCAACACCTCTGCCAAAAAGGTGGCAGACCTGGACTTCCAAAGCAGGAAGAAAGAAGACCATTTGGTAAAAGGAAGTGGAACATCTTTAAGTTCAGTCTGGGTAGCTCTGCCAGGAACAAGGCTGTTTTGATTATGTGAGAGAGACATATCACATAGTCACAGGAGAGACTGGAATGAAACTTTATTTGAGAATAGTCCAGTTAGGAACAGAACCAGGCAATTTCCAAAGACAAATGCTGGGCAGCTAGTCTCAGTTGGTGGAGGGTCTGCAGGAGGGAGAAAGAAAGAAGCCATTAATATCTTAACAGGCAGATAGAACTAGTAACCTTCCAGTGGGTAAATGTTTGATAGCTAATACAGACATGGAAGTTTAAAAATAAAACTGTTTCTAGGCCTCATGGTTTGTGGAAGAAACCTGAACTTATATAGGTAGCTTCTGTCTAAGACTTGGAAACTGGATTTAACTGAGATTGCCCCCGTAAGTCATTATGTGACTTTTGCTGTTCAACACTGTAAATACTGCTGATGCCATGCTGATGATTTGCCTAGAATTCAAAACTCAGCCGCAGGCTGTCCAAAGCTGAAGCAACACCAAGCTTCACAATGCTTGCAGCATCCTCTGTTGTTAGAGGCAGTGAGAGAGAACTCTGGGGTTGCAGAGCCTGATTCTTCCACCGTAAGAGGATCCACTGTGGGGCCTTACAAGAGGCACCCCCCCATATCTCTTCTTATAGTGCTAAATTGTGGAGCACAACCTTGAGGCCCGCTTTTTGCTAAAGAGATGGCTCTACCACTTCAGTCAACAGGGTTCCAGTCTAGCCTCTTTCCCTCAAACACTACAAATGTGTGAGGGAAGGGCTTTTTTCAGAAGATCATTCATCATGTAAAGCCAGACCTTTGACTTGCTGGTACAACCCAGATGTAGGTTTACATCCCATCTGAGTATGGGCCAGAAACTGAAATTCAAACTAATAGCAGAATTTGACATTTTAAGTGAGGGAATTCTGAACCTCGTGATGAGGGATACAGAGCTGACATGGTCATAGTCTGTGTGGCATAGGACCACAGGCATCTCATGCTCTGCATGGGGATAACTGCAGAAATCTAATAATCTGCCTTTGCATACACGTAAAAGACATGGGTTTCTTCCAAAAACATTCCAAACTGGAAACAGTGCATCTGTTGCCAGAAGCATCAGAGCCCTACTTACTTGGCCCATTCCACGTTTAGGATCAGGTGATCGTAGCCAAAGCCAGACACCCCTGCAATGGCCCTGGCAGCATCTTCCCGGCGGTGGAAGCTGATGAAGGCAAACCCCTGAAGGGAAGCAATGGTAAGCAGAACTAGGTCTTGTGGCATGGCACTTTCCCCAGCCAGCACCCACCCACCCTGATCATCAGTCCCCTTCCTCACCTTGGACTGGCCAGTGGTTTTGTCCTTGGCCAAGTAGATTCGGGATATGGACCCGAAAGGACGGAAGAGCTCCTGCAAGTCAGTCTCTCGGGTGTCCTCAGACAGATTGGTGACACGAATGGTGGCATTATCATCAGCTAATGATGTGGATGGAAAGGCAGAAAGAGGACTGTTGGACCCGGGTTGCAAGGACAGGTCAGCCAGGACATCTTTCAAGCAGTGCGAGACTGGTAAGGCACCCAAAGCCACACTGGTGCCATTAGCTCCTGCTCTGCCTGCACACAGGAAATCCCGACCCAGCTGTGCCATGCAGGCCACCTACCTCTGCGGTTAGGCTGCATGGATTCCCCTCTGCGGCTGGCTCCATCTCTCAAGCTGGGTGGAACGTATTTCCCGGTCTTGCTCTGCTGGGCTTGAACAGGTTCTGGTTCTGCAGAAGAAGGCTCTGTTTTAGTGGAGGTACAACTATCCCCTTCCCCAAACATGGGATGAAGAAACCCATGCGCAAGGTACGGTGCTGGGCATCTCCAGATCTCCAGGCCTCACCTCCAGGCAATTTGTCCTTCTCGCCAGTGGAGAGCCCCAGCTGTTCGGCCAGCTCCTTCTGCATGGGCCCCAGCGTGTCCTTGTAAGGGCAGCGTGTGGTCCAGTGGTCCCCCTTGCAGATCCGGCACGACACAATCTTCTGACCTTTCAACTTGTTCATGGGGTCCTCCTCCTCTGGGCAGTTCAAATCCTGGCAAAGGGGGCGACACAGTGTATGGTTTAAACAGGCACCTGTTTGTGCAGCATCCAGCCATGTTGCCCCAGTCAAACCTCTGATCAGCATATCTTAAGGTGGGCCTGACTGTGAAGAGGCGCCAGCAGAAGGTCAAGCAGCAGTGGGCCTCTGCACCACAGAGCAAAAAGGGAGGTATCAGTCTTGGACTGACCCACCTGGCCAGCTTTAGACCTTCTTATTATCCCCAGTACGTCCCACTTTCTGTACATTGCTGCTCACCTCTTTGCTGGTGATGAATGTCATGAAGACATCGTCGCTCACAGTGGTGGTGGCTACATTTGGGCCAGGAGCATCAAACTCTGAGTTGCCAAATTTCTTCCAGTTCTGAGGAAAAGAATTAAACAAATCTTTTGACCGCACTTATGTCCCTGAAAAGTCCAGGGGAAAGGTACTGTAGCTTAGGAGTCTGATGGCCCAGAACCAGTTAAGTGATTTTGGGCCACAAACTCAAAGTAAATGTCAAACAACTGCTCAGGGCCAACTCCAGAGGGTGGTAAGGATGGGCTTCTGTCAAGGCTCTAAAACCAGCAGAGGGCACAGCAACCTGACTGTGCTTCCATTTTCGCTTCATACAGGACCCAAGATTAGATGCAGGCAAAGAGATTTTTCAGTTTGTATGTTCTCCCCCTTTCAGGTTAGCTCCTCCCCTTCCCCCCCAAAATATGCCATGCCTAAGGGCCCCCAAAATGCTGGGAGCCAGCATTGCAGCTGCCTCTAAATGGTTTGTGTGTGAACAAAGCGGGAATACTGGTTAGCACCTGCCTCTTCTTCACACCCACAGCCACAACAAAGAGACAGGCAGCTGTGAGGAACACATGCCCATTATCATCTTCACTCAAAACCAGAGCCTGGCTTCCATGGTACAGGACAGAAGGCTGGTTTCACAAAGCATTTCAAGGAAGAGGGATGCTGAAGCAGTGTACTTGCAAACAGCACAACGGATAGGAATCTTCTCTTCAGTGGGTGCTGGCAAGAGCAGGGATAACATCCTAATCTTCAGCCAAGCCAGAACACATTTTATCATGGCTGGAATCTTAGCCTGAGCTCCAAGGGTCTATGCTTTCCTGGCTTCAGAGAGCTCTGGTCCTCGTACCATTAGGTCAGATTTGAAGAGGGTGGTAAAAACAGTAGAAAGGATGCCTGCATGCCTAGGGGGTGAGGAAAAAGACCCAAGGAGAGAACCTTCACCCTCAAGCGACACCCCTTGCCCAGATGACTCACCTTTCGCCTTGCCACAGCCTTGGAGGCCTTCCGAGTCTCAATTCGAAAGGTTCGGATAATCTGCCGAAGGACAACCACATATCACACTGTGCTCAGGGAGGAATTAACAGAAAAGGAAATCGGGATTCCCCACAGATGACAGCCATAATTCTGCATGTAGCTATGGCTTGTTTTTGAGTGTGCAGCTGCTGCGCTCAAGTCAGGGCCAACCTCTACACAAGGCCCCCCCCAGCTCCCTGTCTGTTTGTGTATCCACACTAGGGAAGATCAGAGGAAAAGGCCCAGCAGGATCATCACCTTCAGACCAGGACACAGTTCTGTCATGGAAAGCTCATTCTGTCCCACCACAGTCCAACGACAGGGTGCCCGTGGAGCCAAACTTCTCTCCCAATGCAAAGGTAGGGCCTGCTCTCTCACAGCACCACAGTAAAACAGGGGGCTGACATGGAGTCACCCTGACAATTGTGGGTGGGGGTGAGCAGAAGGGGAGACATGGCTGGGCCACAGACCACCACTCACCTTGACTTTGCGGCCATCCTCCTCTTCTCTGTACTCAGTCACTGTTTTAATATTCCCATTCACAATCTCTTTGGGAGATGGTAGGGGTCCTGCAAAAGAAGGAAGGGATACTCTGGAGAGCTGCATCTTCCAAACACCCAGCACCCGGCTCCTTTCTGAAAAATGCACCCAGCATTTACCTCCTTTTACAAGCTCTGGCTCGATGGTTACACTTGCGCTCCCGCCTCCAGTTTCACCTCCGCTCCCGCTCAGCACCCCACTCAGAGGGATGTCCTTGAGCAGATCACTGGTGATGCACTTATCTGTGTTGAGGAAGCACCGGGTCATTAGCTGCAGCATCCCCACAAAGGAGACCAGCACCTTCCACAACTACAAACTCAGACGGGGAATTGACTGTCAGTTTGGAAGTGAAACAGGGTCAACCAATAACAAGCTGCGCAACTGAGAGATTCCCTAGGTACACAGAAGTTCATTAAAACCTGGGATCTTCCTGGATCTGTGTTTAGCATGAAGAGAGATGGATGTGCAGGTTGACTTATCTCACTATCTTCTACACCAGGGGTCCTCAAACTTTTTCCACAGGGGACCAGTTGACAGGTGCCAGCAGGGCATGTGGGCCGCCAAGGCGGTGCTGGTGGGGAGGTGCGTGCCAGTGAAGAGGTGGGGCGTATGCACATGTGCACATGAGGCAAGGCGGGGGGGGCGCGGGGGGGGTGAGGCGCCAGCTTGCTTGCAAGGAGATCGTTTTCTCCGAGCGAGTCCAAAATGACCTCCTTGTGAGCAAGCCACACACGTGCATGGCAAGCAGAAAACCTCTGGGGTGGGCTGGTTAAATCGGCATGGCGGGCCAGATCCAGCCCACGGGCCTTAGTTTGAGGACCCATGTTCTACATTTACACCGAGTGATAAAAGATAGGAGCTTCTGCTTTATGGCCACTGTGTGTGCATAGGCACACTTGCACTATCAGTGCTGATGGCAGAGAGAAGCACACAGCAGCCCAGTCACAATGAAGAGAGGCCCAGTATTGGCTGGATTTGCATGTCATGACGAGCAACCCTGTGTGGTTTCTCTGGGGCAGTTTCTTTTCCCTGGGTATGCCTGACAAGTGGTCATGTGATTTCTTTGCTAGCATGTTTTCTACCCTCCTTGCTCAGTCATCCCACTGTTGGCACATATGCCATCAGCCACTGTGCCTGAAATTCAGTCCCATACTGAATAGCTGGAACAGCTGCTGCTCTTTCCAGGGGACTCTGGTAGCTGCACCGGGACTATGGAAACCACAATGCCGGATCTGGATTTCTAAAATCCAAATGTATTGTGCTGAAATACGACAGGGTAAGAAAGAGGTAACAGACCTTTCAAGGCAGAAAACCACATAATTGTCATGCCTTGCAAACCTGCCCCTTAAGTCTGTACACCACTGCTAGCTGATGTGGATACAATTAAACATTTTTCTCCAGGCTCCTGCTTACAATACAGATAATTTTTATTTTCTTTAACACCTCTGTAAAGTTATTTCCATGGTTAAAAAAACCCCCATCACAGAAAGCTATGGCTGGGTGAGTTGGGCAGAATAATTCAGACTATGGGTGAACTGTGATTTGAACCATGAAATCCCAAGTCCAAATCCAGCACCATTCACTGGACCTGCTGCTTCTCAGCCTGGCTCCCAGGAAAGAAAATATTGTTGTCCAAGTAGCACACCCTGTCATACAGCCACCTCTTAAAACTTTTACTTCAAATTCCTTTTTTGGAATTTCACTTTCAACACTTCATTTGGGTCAGATTGCTTTGACAAAGCGGACTGCACTGTTATTTCCCAGAGTGCAGCAGGAGCAATTAGGAGACAAGGCTGGGCAACATGAGGGTGCGATTCAATTGTAGGGCAGCACTTGAATGGCCCATAAACTTGCCTGAAAACAGTGAGAGAGGATAGGCCAGGAGGAGCTGGGGCAGTTTCCAATACCAGATCCTAGCTGGGGATGTGACATGTGACTGTAGGTTTCTATCTGCTACAGCAGAGAGCAGTGGAGTCTTGCAGTGGACCAGAACCTCTGGCATAAGGGCTGGCCAAAACGGTTTTGTCACTGATGTTCCTTCATACAAAAATGAGGCCTCTAAGAGACATTCATGCTGAGGGAGTTTTCTTGACATTGTTGTTGGCCAAGGTCTGAGGAGCATCACAAAAAGTGCCCTCTAGAGAGTTTCTGCAAGGCAAGATGCACTGCAGATGGGGTAGAAGCCCCAGAGGTTTGCTACTATTTTTGGTTTGGTGTACATCTAATTCAGTGACATGTGAAATGTCTTACCATCATCTCCTTCCTCTTCCACTTGATCTGCCCAACTGGGCTTGGAGCTAAAACAGAGATAAACACATTGAGTCGAGGGTCTGATCTCAGCTGTCTTAAACATATTATGTGTCCACCCTGGAGCCTCTAATCCCAGTAGCTGATCTTCCCACATCCAGTACCTACCTACCTTTTATCAGCCCATTACCCTCACCTCTGCATTTTACATTCTCCATTCCAATTCATTTTACATTCTCCATCCCCCTCAAAATACATATTTGTGCCTTCAAAATAATAAACAAAGAAAGAACACTCCATAATGGTAACTCCACCCCTGAATTCTTTTTCAAGTATGCTGCCATTAACACTTCCCTTTTGGTCAGTAGCTGCTCTTTTCTAACCCTCCTGCTCCCTCCTCATACCAAAGGGAAACAGTCCACCTGTCAGCTGGCACTGGCTCATAAGACCAAGGTTCTCACAAATGTTTAGTTTTTCCCTCTGTGGCAGAACAGACAGAGTCAGGAGAAAATAATGCCAGGATGGATAGAGCACCCCATGGGCTTTATGAGGTCTGTGCGCCAGAGGTTCCCCATCCCTCTAACCTTTCAAGCCAAAGACCTGGGACTTCAGCCACTAAAAGACTCAGACTTTCCTTCCTACCACACTGAACTTATCCCAAGTATGTTCCTGTTCTCCATACTCCCAAAGTTTGCTCACTCTGTCAGCTTATCTCCTCCTTAAGGTATCCTCCCTCTCACTCTCCATGTCCCTAAGCGAGTTGCCAGTCTGATCACCCCTTCCCTTTTGTAGATTTCTAGGGAGGAGGTGGGGAGAGACACACTGGACCAACTGAAAAGGCTGACATATCATAAAGAAGATAAAGGAGAGACCCCACCAGGAAAGATGGCAGCTAAGCTAAAGGCCTCATCTTCCTTCTCACTCCACCCACACAGAACCATTCACAAAGCACCTGCTCCCACAACCTCCAACCTAAGTGTCCTCTGCAGACCAAAAGTTTCACCTCCCATTCCAACAGCACCATCACACCTTCCAAAGCTCTCCTGTCCTGCCCAAATATTTAATATTCTCTAAATATCTAGTTCACACTGAGATAGTAGAACGGTGGCTGGGCTGTACAACCTTGGGCTATGGGGGGGGGTGCGATGCAACTGAAAGCTTTTCTATGCTCCATACAAAGCCATCTTTGCATGAAAACCAAGGAGGGAAACTTTTCCCATGACTCTTAACATCTAATCCTGGTTTTCGTGTTTGCTCGTTTGTTGTTGTGCTGGCACAGGGACCCCCCCCCCCCCATTTGCCAGATGATACAGCTCAAACACATGTTTACCACCTCCAAGTGAGAACAAGGCTACGCCCTTTGGTCTGCTTGCATAAGGCTGAGTGATGGCCCTCGGGCAGCGAGGCTTACCTTCCCCATCACGAACTAGAATTCCTCCGCTGCACGCATCGACTCGCGCACAGGGAGAGGGCTGTATCATACGCAGACCCATTGAAACAGATGCAAGTTATTAGATTTCTATCCGCTTTTTTCTTACAATTAACGCAAAGCAGTTTACATCATTCTCCTGCTGCTGCTGCTCTCAATCTTATCCCCACAATAACAACCCTGTGAGGTGGGTTGCGCTGAGTCTGTGACTGGCCCAAAGTCACCCAGTTGGCTCCATGGCCGAGCGGGGACTAGAACGCAGATCGTCCGAGTCACAGTCCCATGCTCTTAACCATCACACGTGAGTCCACATGGTTTCACTAGGTCTACTTTTGGGCATGCCCAAGTCTGAACGTGCAAGCACACACTCGTATCTCCTCTTCCGCCAGCCACCCCGACAACCCCCCGGTTTCCCCCGTTTCGCCCAGCTGGCATCGGCGAATCCCTCCCGCCTCCAACAGCGCCTTCCCGGCCTTCCCTCCCACCTTGACCCCCCTCTTCTCACTCATAATCGCCGGTCGGCATCGCTCCCCGCAGAAGGGGCAAACTGCGCGAGCGGACAAATGCAGGCCTCAAATGGAGGCAGGAAGCAGCAAGAGTCCAAGGCCCATGGAGTGTGAGTCAGCCAGAAACTTCCGAGAGCGCTAAGCATCTTGGGAGGTGTAGTTGTTCAGCCTGCTGAGGCTCCTCGGGCCTGGAAGCGAGTCCGACTCGTCGCTTCGGCGCCCGCTGAGAGAAGAAGGCTATCCAATGAGAGGGCCCAAGGTAGTGGCGTGCGCTTGAATCGTCCTCTATGTAAGAAAAAAGACTCATTTCCTAAAAGAACACTTGTGAATTTACAGGCTTCCGCCTGATGTGCTAGAGTGGTTTTTTCCCCCGAAGAAATGGAACTCCTGCCATATTTAAAAGTGACATCCCCACTGCAGTCTTGAAGGGGTATAGTCCACTCTGGTTTTTCTTATTCTCCTACACGTGCAAATCAGGCCCAAAACCTCCTCCTGGCATGAGTGTATTTCTTATGTACTCATTCTCTTTCCTTTGCAGATGGTACTTTGCCCACATTTTACATTCAGTTTTTTTAAATGGCTGTGTACAATTAATTTTATAGGTTTTTTATTGCTGAATAATTGTGTTACAACTGAGTTACAGCTCTAATGCAAATTTGCATGGAAATAAGTACAGTTCAACTGAATGGAACTGATTCCAGAGTAACATGGAATTACAGCTTTGATTTGCATTCGATGAAGTACACAAAAATCTTTGGAGAAAACCTGAAAGTTACCTTTCAGTAGAAAAGTAATCATTAACAGGAATCACAATCACAGTCCAATTTTGTGCAAAGTTAGACATGCCAAAGCACATTTATTTTAACAGCCTTACACGTTTCAAAGACTGCAGAACATTTGGTTGCAAGCTTTCCTTTAAGTATCCACTGATGTACTGGACTTGGACTGGGAAGAGCTGGGTTCACCCCCTTGCTCTGTCTTGAAGCCCAGTGGATTCTTGTGCAAGTTCTGATTTCTTGGTCTAATGTGGTACCCATGTGTCCACAGAACCCTGTCTTGGGGCTTACTTAGGCTCCCTGCTTCTCCTAGTTTTATTTATCTGTTTTGTTTTTAAGTGGGAAGGTGGCATGTATGCCACAAAGCAAATGCCACCCTCCAGGACCATCTTTATTTTGGCTGAAAACTTTATCATGTTTGTTTCAGAGCTCAGACCCCACCTCTGCCTTGTACTAATGTTCTTAGGCAAGGATAATTTTCTTTTAGTCTCAGCATTTTGTGACCAACCATGCTCACTATGCTGCATTTTTATGATAGAACCAACTTTCCCCCATTGGCAGCCATTTTATAGGCATGCCTGTAGCACTCTTAAAATTTCAAATGTGCCCACTGGCTCAAAAATGTTGGGGGTCCCATTTCACAGATCAACTGGCAGGGGAAACTCTGTCACTTCAAGCTCCTTGGAAAAAGGACATGGTGAACATGAAATAGGTAAGGCAGCAATCCTTTCTACGCTTCCAGATAAATAGCACATGTTCCCTATAGCTGAAACAGCAAACAGTTCTGTCTAAAGATTAATTATTCCCATGCACAGGCTGGAAAAAGAAATTTTGTTGTGTCCTGAAAATATGATGCATCCTTTTCTCAGCCTCTCCCCCCCATCCACTTGATGATTCATATTAACTGACCCCGTATTTGCAATGAAGCTTTCCCTACCATTCTGATAAGTGATTCTGTAATATTACAAAATAGGTTGTTGTCAGGATAAAATGGAGAGGAGGAATATTATGTAAGTCACCTTGGGTTCTTTGCAGGAAAAAGGTGGGATATAAATGTAGTAAACAAGCCAGTTATCTATAGTTATTACGCAAGTCCTCACCTGGGAGGTTTGGAAAATCCATTTTGTATAGGCTGATGCTTTCACTCAACAACACCTTTCAAACAAAAACAAAAAGGGGCTCTAGATGAGCAAAGCAAAACCATTCACTTCTTTTGATGCTCTCACTGATACCATCTGAAAGCCAATTCTGCTAGTCCAGCTTGGGTTCTGCTGAGTTCCACTTCAGGTCACCACCACTGCTGACAGAGCAGGTCATCAAGTATGGAGTAATCAAGGGGCTTGGTAGGGATGTGTGAACTGGCATTCCAGTGCCTGGGCCCCAGAGACACATGCATGTTAGTTTACATACTATCCAAAGTAGGGGCAACCAGGGTAGGGGTGGATCATCTGAAGAAAGTCAGGAGCAGTTCTTTCCATAATTTATAGGAGAGATTTATTTGAAGAAATATTACAACATATAAAAACTACATAAAGTATTAATTTCCACTTGTACAAAGTGGTTGATTAATTTTCAATACAATGCATAATAAAAACATCCTTAATCCCCTCTCCCCCCTGATAAAAACACATACATACACACACGCATGAAATGGGAGGCACTGCACAATTGATCACTTGAGAATGGTTATTTAAAACATCGAAACAGCTTCAGAATGCCAGCCAAATAGACAAACACTGCTCACAAATACAGGCTTGAAGAGGAAAAAAGAGATTGAGAGAGAGAGAGAGAGAACATAAAATAATCCCCCCTCCCCGCTGCAGCCAAACAAACAGAAACCTCCAACAATTTTCAGCAAGTCCAGAAGTAAGAAAATAAACTAGAAATGAAAAGAAAGAATTTTTTTAAAATTATCAGTGCATGTTTGGGTGTTCAGGTGCTGGAACCGAAGTGTAGCAGGAGATCAGCAAATTACAAATTAATCTGAAGTGTCCATCTTTTCCTGTTTGATGGTTTCTGCAGAGAAACAAAATGGATCAGAAATATATATTGCAAAAGGTGAACATAGAAGAATTGGAAGGGGCCAAGAAGGCCATCAGGTCCAACCCCCTGCTGCTACAGGGCACCAATTTGTACCATCCCACTCAGATGACTGTCTAGTTCTGCTTTGAATGCCTCTAGTGTGGCAGAGCCCACCACCTCTCTAGGCAGCTGGTTCCACTGTCTATTGCCGTGACAGCGAGGGAACTTCCTGAATCTGAGTTGTTGCAACTTGATTTGATTATTCTGTGTCCTACACTCTAGTATCAGTGAGAAGAGATCTTGTCCTTCCTATTTGTGACAGCCTTTGAGGTACTTATAGGATCTTCTCTTCTCAAGGCTGAACATACCCAGTTATCTCAGTCTCTCCGCACAGGGCCATGTTTCCAAACCCGGGGTCATTTTTGTTGCCCTCCTCTGGGCCCTTTCTAATTTTTCTGCATCTTTCTTGAATCTTGGTGCCCAGAATTAACACAGTATTCTAGATGCAATCCAACTAGTGAAAAGTAGAAGGAAACTAATATTTCTCATGATTTGAAAGTTATACTTTTATTAATGCATCCCAAAATGTCATTTGCCCTTTTTGCAGCTGCATTGCATTGTTGGCTCATATTCAGCCTGTTGTCCACAATAATTCCAACGTCCTTTTCTTTTTCCGTCCTGAGAGTTCCTTCACTAGTTCTGTTATGACTCTGGGAAGGAGTGTTTGTCTCTAAACCTAATGGATGGAGTGTCCAACAGGCACATGGACATCTGCACAAAGGCAGAATGCCTACCACTCTCTCACACTTTGCTGACACAATATTGTGCGGTGCACCCTACACTGTGGAACTCCACATGCTCTTTCAAGTCCCGGAAGAGTTTCAAGTGGTGGGCAGTGTGCATGCCCAAGGTCCCACAGCTCTAGCCCTCAGAGGGTCCCCATGCAGCCAGAACCCCTTCCCTCCAATGAACTGTTGGGTGGTTTCCTGGCTTTGTCATGCTTCCCCTGTTTCTGTCATTCTAAAGAGGTAAAATTCTCTTAAAGTTTAGCTATCAAGAGCTTTAAACTAAAATATCATGGTATTTTACCCTTTTAAACTTCAACTTGGTTTGCCTTGAGCCCCTCCCACTACCAGTATTCCCTGAGAGCTCTGATCTCCCTGATATCCCTGCTACGGGACAAGGAGGCAGAGGAAGAGCTGACCCACACTTTGCATTACTTCCAGTATGAGTAGATTATGCAGTGGGGTAGCAACTGGCCCAGCCAGTGAATGGGAAAGTTACTGCCTTGCTGAATGAACCTAGAACCCTAACCCAGTCCAGGTGTGAATGCACATTTAAGGAACCCGTGCTGTGGTGCTACTTGTTTCATGAAGTGTTTGCTGGAGCAGCTGCAATGTAAACACAATCAGCCCCTTTAAAATGAAATTGCTGACAAACAGTAACATACCTGAAGCGTCCTCTTTCATTTTGGCCAGCACACACAATTTGATCTCTAGACCAATGGCTTTTGCTAGAGGAGGAGGCACTGCATTACCCACCTGCAAAAAGTAAAAGACAGCAATGGGTCAGCATAGCATGGCCCTTGCCAATGATTTTCCACCAACACCGTTTTCCTTGCATTAGGCCAAAATCTGGAATCGATAGCTAATGTTAATTTTACTTAGCCAAGACCCACCAAATGAGTGGGATTTCAGTTAGACTAATGTTGGATGTAGCCTTCATCAGGGCTCAAATTTAACAAATATAACAGATCACAGTCTCCTGTTTCTGCTACTCACTCTCCTTCCCCTCATGGGTAATCTACTTGCAGATTACTTCCAAAGAGCTGCTTCCATCACCATCCTTCTCAATTAACTCAATAACCTAAGTCATACATTTACTATGCTGGGAAGACGTGCAAGCCTTAGAGGTTCCAGCAGATTTTATAATCTGATTCTGGTAAAGTCAATTTTGATAACCTTGAATAGTTTTTAAAGGGGAAAACAATTTGTTTTATTGTTTAAATTTGCTTTGTTTTATTGTTTAATATCAGGGTGGGTTTGTGTGCCAGCAAGCAACTCAGGGGACAATCCTGTGCATGTTTAGTCAGGAAAAAAGTCCCCTAACTCCCATTACGCACCAGCTGTCCAAACTTGCACAAGTTTGTTCCCTTAGTGAAATAAAAACTAGCAGCAAGGCACTCTCAAAACAGCAGGTTGCTGCCACATGGGCCAATTACCTTTGCTGGACATCATCACTCATTTTAAAGGCATCATCGGGGTTCCTGAGCCGGGGTTACACAGCAACTATGCACTCAGCCTCACAGAACACAATCCTACACATCTTTAAGCCCAGTGAACTCATCGGGGCTTATTCCCAGCTCTGTGTGCATAGGATTGCAGCCCTGAGCATTAAAAAAAAGCTGTCCCAGAGCAGTTGACCCCTAAATGTCCCCCACAAGGAGGCGGCGCAGCAACCTACCTGTCGGTGCTTGTCAAGCACATTTCCAAACAGTCTGTAGGTGTCTGGGAATCCCTGGGACCGTGCACACTCCCGCACGCTCACCACCCGGTGCTGTTCGGGATGCAGCACGCGGCCCTACAGTGAAAGAGAGCAAGAGACACTGACAAGTAGCCTTCCCTACCTAGGTATCAGGGCCCAACCAATCACCATGCTTCAGGCTAGGAGCAAGTTCCTCCCCTGAGTGAAGGGGCTGCTGGCCCATCACAGGGATATTTCCCCTTCCAATCTACCACACAGCTTGAAAACCTAAGAAAAGCCATGCTGAATCAGACCAGTGGTGCATCTAGCTCTGCATTCAGAGTAAACTTATTTGGTATTTTTCTTTCAAAAGATTTTATAGTCCAGAGTGACAGAACGCTGAGAAAGTCTTTGTAGAGGGTTCTGTGACTAATTGCAGAAGCAGAAGGAAGCCAAAAAGAAAGGCTTTTTCTTTTTTCCTCATTATTCACAATGTTGGGCAGAGCTGGATTCTGTGGGCAAGTCATATCCTAAGGCGGGACGGGCAGTCCAGCCCTGCTGCGAGGCTAAAAAAACAGGCTAGCAGGCAATCCAGCTGAACACACAAAATGAGTCTGTGCCTGCTAGGGGACAGTGATGGGCCAGTACCACGATCGGCACGATTCCCTTACCTGTTTCCCCATGGGCTCGGGGTTGGTGACTGTTGTGCTGAAGAAGCCGTCCCATTCTAACCTTCCGTACAAGCCAGCCCAGTGGTTGTGCCGGTTGCCCGTGTGGGGCAGACACCAAGGGATCAGGGTGTTAAACTGCCGGTCTGCAGGGTCACACTGCTTGCCTAGAGGGCAAAACAGAGTTCAGACACCCTTAGGTTACTCAAAATGAAGCAGAGACAAGGAGAGTAGCACAGGAAAACACCTCCCACCACAAAACTGGCAGAGGAGAGTTTTGTTTCATCCCTCCCCACTACCTGTTCTCTAACCAAAATGAAGAATACCCAGGTGAAACTAGGTTTGAAGAAGGTATTTAATTGATTGGTGCCCTGTCTTTCCACCAAGAAAACATTGTTGAAGGCCACTGGTGCTAAGAGTGCTGGATCCTGGGAGAAACAATCATAGAAGCATTGGATGGAGAGAGAAAAAGTGCAGAAAACGGGTAGACAGGAAAATGGGAGGGTGATTCAGCAGCAGAGGACTTGAGAGCACCAAAAGGAGGGTACATCTAAGGCCATGGGGATTATGTACTCTGAACTTGCTAGTTAAAAGGTAAGTGTTTTGGATTTTTTAAATTGTTCCTTTTATTGCTGTTTACCTACCCATTTGTCTGGCTCTTTTCTTTTTACTTTGCATTGTACTATTTGTTTGGTTTATTTGTTACATTTAAATGCTGTCTTTTCCTCCAAGGCAGTACACATGATCCTCCCTCCCCTCCATTTTGCTCTCACAACACCCCTGTGACGTAGATTCAGTTGAAAGTGCATGACTGGCCCAAAGTCACCCAGTGAACGTCATAGCTGAGTGGGTATGAGGAAACCAAGTTGCCTACCTGTAACTGTTGCACTTTGAGTGGTCCTCTGTGCATTCGCATACATGGGCTCTGTGCACAAGCATGGCGCTTATCTGGCAAGATTCCAAAGCTGGTTCATTCTCTCTTACTCGGCAAGAGTCCAAACCCCTAGGAATGCCCAGAGTGTGGAGAGGGGCTCCCACCAAGATCACCATCCAAATATGTCCCCTGACCCAAGGATGGGAAGAGTGAGCTGTGTGCCACAAAGTGCAATGCTAACGGGGATGATAAGGATACAGTCTATTCAATCTCAGTCCTTGATCTTTGCTAGGACTTTTGGGAGGAGAGGAAATGGGGAGAACAGGTAGAAGAGGCTCCCGTTCCATACCAGGAGGACAGCATCTCCCATCAATCCCATGCCAGTGCTGGCCCTGGAACAGAAGTGGTTGCGAGTGGCATTGTCCTGCAAGGCAAATAAGTCTATGTGAGGATGTCCCGATGGGTTCCATAGGGACTGCATCCTGCAGCAGGGAAGTTCCATTTGTGACACGCCATGAAAGTGTGGCTGAGTGTGTCTGCCACCACATTGTTGGTACTGGCAACATGGATTGCCAACAGGGTGGAGTGTCAAGTGGTGCACCACTTCCAAATCTTGGTGGCAAGAATTGCTAGCAGGATGCCCCCCCCCATGTTCCTCTTTGCTTGTTTATATATGTGACAACGGTGGTGTTGTCAAAATTTGACTATGCTGATCCAGGATCTGAGGAGAGCCTTCTGTATAACAGGGACCTCCAGATAGTTCATATGGCGTGAGGTATCTTCCAATGCCTGGAACTGTCAAGCAACCACAGTGAACTCCTCATTCAGAGAATGAGGCATCTGTTTTGATGACCAAGGTCGGTTCTGAAGGGGAGAACGTGACTCTGATGGTAGTATTGGTCCATCACCTGAGGTCCCGTTGGATCCAAGGTGAGATTGGAAGCCTAGTTGTGCAGGGCTATGTTCTGTTACTGAATGAAGCCAAAAAAAAAAAAAAAGCTGGAGTAGTCACATGTGCAGCCAGGCAACGCTACCATTATGACTGAGGCAGTCATGAGGTTGAGCACCCTCATGCAGTTGTCCATTCCTTCATGGAATAGGCTGGCACTGTCAAAAGGCATGCCCTCAATTCTGGCTTTTGCTTTCATAGACAGTCTGGAGGATCAAAGCCAGGCGAAGCGACGGAGACCTACTGAACCTGCCATGTTCCTGGCACTGCGTTCTGCTTGACGCCTGGCAGTATGGACCTCCTGACACACAAGGTGAGCGGCCTCAGTCCTGATTTCTTTGACCGGGTCTTGGGTTTTTTTCAAGAGGGATGAGCATGGCAGGGCCATCCTGTGGCCGGCATTAAGTGATACCTGGTAATTCACCATCTTAATTGAGAGGGCAGCAGATTAATGGAAACAGCAACCAACCATATCAAGGCATCTACTTTCTCTATTGGCTAGAGTGGAGTGTTCTCTTCTTGATGGGCCTTGAGAGGACCACACAATAATAGAGTTGGGGCGCGGATCTTGAAAAAAGAAATTCTGCGTCTCTTTCCTGTACCTGGTACCTATTTTCCAGTCTTCAAGGTGGAGGAGCCACGGATGCAGGTGATTTCCACTCTTGCTGTATCATGTCAAATAGGGTCAGCAGGAGAGGTATGGTTTCAGCATAGACTGCCTTAAAGACAAGGCCTTTTGCTCTGCCTGGGTCTCGGTGAGGACTGAGCCCTAGGCTGTGGGCCATATGAAGGACCTGATTGGAAAATTGTCCAGGGTCCTCAGAAGAATGGGGAAGTTTGCATGGAAGTCTGGCCAGGCCAGGTGGGAAGCTGGGACACCAGTCTGGAGAAGACAGTTCCAAGTCTGAATTACAGGGTTCAGGGTTGGATTCCATGGGTTCAGTGAAAGTCACATGTTGGTGTTCAGGCAACTTGGCATGTGATGGTCAGGTGCGGGATAGTGGGGAGCACTGGGCTGCCATCTTCCTAGCATCCCTTGATGGTCTGGGGATTGGTATCAGTAAGAGAGGATTAGTATGGATGGGGAACTGATCGAATCAGAGAGGGCTTCAATGTTGCCTTTCACATCTGGAACTGAAAGTTGTCCAAGTGTTCTTTGTAAAAGTTAGCCTCAAATTCCCTCTTGTAGGGAGATGACAGCCACCCAAGTCTGATGTCCCAGTCCACAACGTGGGAGTGAGATCAGTAACAATGTGTGTTGGATTCGACAGAAAGGCACATGCTTGGGATTGACAGTGGCAAGGAATTACACCTTGGTCCCAGGGCGGGTTTGGTGGCTCACTGGAGACAACGGTTCTTGAATCTTGCCTTCCAAGAACGAAGCACTTGGAGCTGATGACATCGGCTAGGAGATGTCATCAGGAGCTCCTGTGCCAGTCTGGAAACGAGAGAGGAGTGCCTTGGTGGTTCAGGCTCTGCCGCTGTGTCTTTGGTGCACGGGAGGCTGGCAGAGGGTGGAATGTCACAGCGTTTCTTGGTTCACTTGCTGCCATCTTGCCCTTTAAACCAGACCTGGCATTTTTGAGGACTTGCTTTTCTTTGCCACCCTTTTGATTTTACTTCCTTGGGGATTGGCTGAGGGGAGCTGCTTGCATGGAGGGCCCCGCTCCAGAGTTCCACTTTAATTCTGCCTGCATGGCTTGATGTTTCCTGGTCTGTTTCATAGATGCCTGGCTGTGGTAACAGGAGTCAACTACATGGGTCTCCCCCAGGCAAAAAAGGAACAGAGAGTGGCTGTCCGTAGGCAGTAGTTTGCTGCCACGTTTTGCACACTTCTGAAATGGAGCCCTAAGCGTCATTGTCTTGAATGGGAGGCAGACAGGTGAGGTAAAGCAAGCTGGGGAGAAGTGAGGAAAGTAGTATTTTTGGCGGGGGAGTGTAGGATTAGATAAAAATGAAGGAGACAAGAGATCTGAGAGGGCTGAAGAGGCAACATCTAGATAAGGTATGTAAGCACATGAAGAACTTCCTGATGCACTCACAATGGCAGCCGAAGAAGAGGTGAGGTCTTAGTGGGAGCCCCTCCCTGCACGCTGGGCATACCTAGGGGTCAGGCTCCTGCTGAATAATAATCAATCAGCGTTGGGATCTTCCCAAATAAGCTCCATGCGTGCACACAGAGCCCATGTATGTGATGCAGAGACTAAAAACTACTTAAGTCCCCAAAGCCCAAATACCTAAATCCCCTGCACTCTCACCACCACACCATGCTGTCTTTCTTGTGTGTATATTCTTGCCACTGGCCACCTTGAAAACCACGCGAGGCAGACATTTATATATGTAAGAAACAGATATAACATTTGAAGCAGAAGACCTGACGAAGGGCCCCAGAAAGCACCCAGCCATTATGTTTGAGAGGGAACAGGCCAGGCAGAGCATCCTCTGGGTGGCTTGGCAGAGTGGTCCTCTCCAGCCAGCAGACCCACACCAGGTACCTTCAGCGCAGGAACAGACGCCCCGCAGGGCCCCCGTGCTGCTCCGCCCATTCTTCTTATCGTGGTGGGTGTAACGTAGCTTGCGGGTCATTGTGCCATCTGATAGGCGCACTTCAAAGTTGGGCAAGTCACGCCAGTCTGAGCCTGGAGCCAGTGGAATGTGTCTCATCCTAGCAGCTACCAACGCGCTCATATCCTGGTGAGAAAAGGCCTGCAGTTATCCTCAGCACCACTTGCCCCAGGCAGGCCTGCCCATCCACCCCCATCAGGAATGCATGCATCACCCAGCGTACAAAAGGTACGTTCAGGCTTGAGAAGGGGTTTCCCAAAGTGGCACAAATGCTCTCACAGGGGCAGCAGAACTGCCCAAACTGAGGCTGTATATGATGGTGTGGGGCAGATGGGAGGGGAGGGAAGAAATACATTAGCAGGAGGACTCATTCTATGGCAAATGGAAGCTGCCTGCCCCTCTTCTAGTTATAATCCAGCTGAAGGGACACATATGAAAGTTTCCTCCAATGTTTGTTCATGATTAGGGTAGGAAAGGCACTACACACATTTGGTAAGGCAGACACTGGAACCATCCTAGAGGGGCTGTTCATTGTGACATGTGCCCAAAGGCCCAATTCTAGACATCTGTTGCCACCCCAGGCCTGAGTTTTCTCCAGAAAGACAGGTTTCTTTACCTGTAACTGTAGTTCTTCGAGTGGTCATCTGTGCATTCACACATATGGGCTCTTCGTGCATGCGTGGAGCCATTTTTCTGGAAGATTCTAAAGCTGACTAAATAGTATTTGGTGGGAGTCAGGCCCCCTACACAGCTAGTGTGAGGGTGGGGCTCCGGCCAAGACCTCAGTTCAAAGCTGAGACCGCCATCATCATTGTGTGAATGATGCAGAATAACCCACGTGTCCAAGAGAGACACCAGAGGGGACGGCGGGTGGGTATGTGTGAATGCACAGATGACCACTCAAAGAACAACAGTTAGAGGTAAGGAAACTTGTCTTTATTCTTCATGGTCTCTGTGCATCACACATATGGGCAACTGGCGAGCTTAGCTCAAGGAGGGTGGTGTCACTCAGTGCAGCAGAGCAGAGAGAATGGATCTGCCAAAGACACAGTCCTCTCTTGACCTGACGTAGTGTTTAACGAAGGTTGACGGATTAGATCATGTGGCTGCCTTAGTCAGGGGCACTCCAGCATAGAGTGCAGTAGAGGTGGATGTGGGTCTAGTTGAGTGACCCTTGACAGGTCCAGAAAGTTGAAGGCCAGAGAGGTCATAGGCCAGACGAATGGTATGGACGATCCACCCAGAGAGTCTTTGAGGAGATATTGGGTGTTCTCTGTGAGGCTCACTGTAAAGGATGAACAGCCTTTGAGTCTGTCTTAGGGATTGCATTCTTGATTTATAAAAGGCAGAGGTAATATGCAATGCAGTCTCTATAGCAGATGGACTCTGGAAGAATGAGGGCAGGATTATCAGATTCATGTGAAAATATGACACTACCTTAGGCAGGAAGGTAGGATCTGGATGGAGGATGACTTTGTCTTTATGAAAGACTGTATATGGGGTGTCAATCCAGAGGGATGCTAGTTCCGCTGCTTGACGGACAGAGGTGATGGCTACGAGGAAGGCTGTTCTCCATGACAGGAGGTGGAGATTGCATGAGTATACAGGCTCGAAGGGAGACTTGGTAAGTGTGTGGAGGACAACAGACAGGCTCCATGATGAAGGTGGTTGTCTGAGGGGAGGAGTTAAATTCCAGATCCCTTTGAGAAACTTGCGTATGAGGGGATGAGAGAAAGCTGTTTGCCCCTGAATTGGATCATGGTTGGCCGATATGGCAGCCATGTAGACCTTTATCGACGAATAGGAGAGGCCTCTTTTGTATAAAGAGTTCAAAAATGAGAGGATTTGAACTGAAGAGGCTGCGGCTGGAGCAAAGTTATGCTGGTATGCAAAGGCCTGAAAGGTTGCCCATTTCGCATTGTAAGATTTGCGAGTGGACGGTTTAAGAGATGCATCTAGCACAGACTGGAGGTCAGAAGGAACTAAGTCTGACAAATCCTCAACCAAGGAGGATGGGGAGTTCTGCTTTGATCTTGGAAGAGCAAGTTGTCCCTGTGAAGTAGATGGCAGAATGTCCATTTGAACAGATCGAGCAGGAAAGGAAACTGGTGTTGCCTGGGCCATCAAGGAGTGATGCGGATCGCATTCGTATGATCTCACAAGATCTTCGTCAAGACCTTTGGAATCAGGAGGAAGGGGGGAAATAGGAGAAACAGATTCCTTCTCCAGGATTGGTGAAAGGCATCTCCCACAGAGTGCCTGCTGAGACTGGCTCTCGAGCAGTACTGGGGGCAGACTCTGTTGCGTTCAGCAGCGGACAAGTACACCTGGGCCATGCCCCAACAGTTCCATAAGGTTTGGAGAACTGCAGGATTCAGTTCCCACTCGTGGTGTGTGGTAAATATCCTACTCAAGAGGTCTGCTAGAACATGGTTTTGCCTGCTACACATAGAGCAGTGATCAGGGTCAAAATTGGCAGGATCTTGAGTTTGCTGCTGGAATGTACCACAAAAGCTGGGACGGGGCAAGGGGTCATGTTCTGAACCTGACGGGCTCCAGTGGGACCCTTGGCTTGATCTGATGGATCCTCAGCGTTCCACATAGAACTCGGAATCGAAATCCCCATGGCGCCTTGTGGGAGATTGATGTCTTTTAAGCAGAGTCTAAGCCGGAGGAGATCGAGAGCGTCCTTTGGCTCTTTGTCTCTCGGGCTGGAGAAACACACTCGGTACCGAGGATGAAGATGAGGCTTGGCTCTGTACCAGAGGCTGGGCTAACTGAGGAGTCTGAGCTGGCGACTCCTGAATCTCTCCTTCGGAGACCGAAGCGCTCCTTGGAGGTTGGAAGGGTTGTAGGGATTGTCCCTGGTCCCCCTGGCTTTGGGGGGGCGCCACGTCTCCAGCACATGGGAGGCCGGTAGGTATCGACAACTCAGAGCATGAATGGATGCTTTTTACACTTCCCTTCTCTTTAATAAGGGTAGGCGACTTTGGACGTTTTGCTTTCTTTTCTGCCTTCTTTTGTTTTGCCACTTTGGGCATTTTCACCAGTGGGGGAGGTGATGAGTTGTCTGGGTTTTGAGCTGAACCCACAGAAGTAGACGGCAGAGGGTCTTCGGCGTGTGAAGTGCAGCTCCAAAGTTCCACTTTTAAATGGTCAGCCCAGTGCTTCCTTGCCTGCTTTGTAAAAGTTTGGCAGCGATGACAAAACTTGACGATGTGAGACTCTCCCAGGCAAAACAAACAAAGGGAGTGGCCGTTGGTTGGTGGGAGCTTACTGCCGCATGAGGTACAGTTGCAGAAAGCAGGATGCCGGCAGGGTGCTCCACAGGCCCCCAGTGGCAAATGCCGAGGGCTACGAATAACTTTTATTTTCTTCTTCTTTTTCCTCTTCTGCTTTGAGCAATAGGGAGAAGACATAGAGAAAAGGAAACCTGACCAGCAGGAACTCTTACGTATAGCTCGAGGGGTAAGTTGGAGAAGAACCTCCTGATGCACTCATGATGGCAGTTGAAGAAGAATTGAGGTCTTGGCAGGAGCCCTGCCCTCACGCTAGCTGCGTAGGGGGCCGGGCTCCTGCCGAATACTAAATAGTCAGCTTTAGAATCTTCCCGAAAAACCGCTCCATGCATGCACGAAGAGCCCATATGTGCGATATGCAGAGACCACGAAGAATAACAGAACTTCAAACCTGATCACCTCCTATATTTTTCTTCAGCATCCTAGGGATTAGAAACCCTTCCTTTCTCTAGGGATGATATGAAAGCCATTGGTTTGTACATTAGAAAATCAGCTCTCTCAGCTATCCTGGTTCCTTTGGCCTTGATGCATCACTATAATAAACCTGACCCTTCCCACTATAATAAACCTGACCCTTCCCACCAGTCTCATGAGAAAAGAAAAAAAGTTCTTCACCTTACAGATATGATCCCTGAGGATGGGCTGATATTGGGAGCCTCGAATTTGCCTCTGGAACCAGGACTGTGGTTCCCCATTATAGGAGATTTCAAGTGCTGATGCCCCATTCCTGATTTCAGGGAGATCCGACATAGTGTCGCGGACGGTGATGGTTCGGAAGGGGCCCGAGTAGGTCCTAGAACATGTCAAAAGAAGTGAGTTCACCAGATGACTCTTGCCAGGATCCTCACCTTCGAGCAAGACACAGCTGCACCATACCCAGGATACTTGCTTAGCAGCATCCCTGGATAATAAATCTTGAACGGAAAAGCTGTCCGTTCCAAGACTGAATCCAGTTTCCACTGAGTAATAAAAAAAAACCATGCAGGGAAGAGATTTGATCTCAGAGGCTCCAAAAAATCTGAAGTCCTGCCATGGGTATCTTTGGAGGTATATGTTTGGCCCCTTTCACTTTAAAAAAATAAACAAAAGGAAGGGAATTAATTGAGAGCAGCTCCAGGGCATCTGGCTGTAGCAGGGGCTGGGACTGGTAGAGCTGTGCATCCTCTCCGAACATGCCCTCACCACCCATCTCCAACAGAGTAGCACAGTCTCCGTGGCAACTGTAGGCTGTGTGGGTTCAGGGTAGGGATTTCCTCTTACAAGGACAGATTGCTCTTTCTGCCTTCAGAGAGATCCAATGTATCTTCTGGGCCCTGGAATTCCCTCCTATGGGCCATCAGATTGCTGCCTTAATTTGCAAACTATGCGAGGGAACAGAAGATCCTCCCCTAATAAGAAAGGCTTAGCTGCTTTCTGAACCATAAAGTAATGGCTGCTGGACAAGAAGATGCACAGGTGGCAGTCACAGGAATCTTTCTTGCTCAACATGGAGCAGGGCATGGGGTAGACACAATGGCTTCTTTGAGCCTCTCTTGTCCTCCCCACACCTATCTTGAGCCCTCCTGGTGGAAGGGATTCTTCTCCTCTCAGTCCACAGAACCAATACATAAGTGTTGTGTGACTCAGGTGCAAGAGTTCATTTGTAATGTGTGGGTCAGCTCAAAACATGCATCACCAGGGTAATGAGACACTCTGCAGATACAAAGGAGCTTGTGTGCAAAGCAGAGTGAACGTGCAGGTGAAACCACACAATTTAGGCAAGAGACCAAAACGATCAATGCCCAAAGTTAGCCAATGCCTGGTACTGCACATGGAAGCTCAGGACTGTAGCCTTGTTCCAATCAGAATGAACAGCCTGTTTACAAGGTGGGGATAGGGGTCATCTCTGACTTGTCTTTGCAGGCCTCACCCCAACATGATATTGGCAGCAGCTAACATCTGGGAGGTAGCCATTACCTTGTTATATTGCTAACAAACTTCTTATCATCTACCACCACACTGAGCTGGCAGACCCGGGGAGCAAAGACGTGGAGGGGTTCTGGGAACAAGGGCAGTTTCTCTCCAGGAGCTGCAGCCAGCACAATCGCTCTCCTGCGTGTCTGGGCCACACCATACTGGCCAGCCTAGGAGGAGGGAGAAGATGGGAAACACCTGGGTTATGGACACAAGAGCCACGCTGGATCACACCAAAGGCCTACCTAGGCCAGCATCCTGGTTGCACCGTGGGCAACTGGAGACTCCCATGGAAGCCCACAAGCAGGACATAAGCATGGTAGCATCCTTCCACCCTCAGTTCCCAGTGACTGGTATGAAGAGGCAGACTACCTATAACCCTGGAGGTAATACTAACCACTAAGACTAGCAGCCAGAGATTGCCTTATTCCTCCATGAACATCTCTAAACCCTCTTAATGCCATCCAAGTTGTGACAGCAAATACCAAAACCACACACAGTGTGAAGGATTTCCTTTTGTCTGCCCCGAATCTCCCAACATTCAGTGTCATTCTATGGCCCTGAGTTCAAGTATTCTATCCCACTTTCTCCACACCACACGAATTTTGGACACCTCTATCATGTCTCCTTTTCTCACCTTGTGGAACAAGAAGAAAAGCTTTCATTTTTTTTGGCCTTAAAGTATAATTCCCATTTAGAATTTATTGCATTTTCTTCCATTATTGAATAATGTTTGTTAAGATTTATTCTTTATGTCAGCTTTATGTCAAATTCAAACCTAAAAGAGGTCATTAAAGATATCCTCGATGTGGGGCTCCATATGTAAGACCTAGTGAAGCAGGTGATGGTTAAGAAAGAAGACTTGTGTGGGCTATAAGGGCTGTAATCTGCAACTAAGCCAGGTTTGAAGAACAGACATTTCCAGGCATATTTCTAGCCTCTTCACCAAAAAGGGCAGAGTTGGAAATCCAAAAATAGAATGACTTTGCTTGAGCGTTTCACTGGTCTTCAGCAGAAACTAACTTGATGCCCCAGAAAAGTACAAATACAGGGCATAAGCAGAAGGATGTCCTTTGTTTATCCCAACCACCTGTAATATTGGAGCATACTGCCTCTGAGGTCCAATTCTAGCTATTACAGCCAACAGCCACCGATAAATCTGTAGCACACCAGGAATTTGTTTAGGTCTTCTTTAAAGCAACTTGTGCTATCCAATACTCCCTGTACTGAGGAGGCAGGGAAGGAGATTGGGCAGAAACACAACAGGATAAGGTATGGCTCTCGATTCTTTGATTCAATTCCAAATCTCATGGGGAGGGAGTCTGGAAAGGAATGCACTCACTCCTCATGTCTCTACCTGACCACCCTACCTGCAGTACCCCGAAAGTGCACTGGTATCCCATCCGGACAAGGCACCGCAGGGTGAGTTTTAACACCATGGAGCGCTTGAAGGAGACAAAGTTCCTCACGTTCTCAAGCAGGAAGAACCTTGGTCTGTAGTAGTCGCAGTAGCTGGAGAACGATAAGAGTAAAGGCAGGGTCAGTTGTGTGCACTCTCCCTCTGCCAGCCCTAAACAGCAGAAAGGTTTCCTCAGGGACCTTCCCCCGCTGGGTGCCTTTCCAAATTCTGTGTGGACAATGATTCCTGCTATCTGTGGTCTGCATGGCGACTGGCGTTTGGTTATGCTGGCTGGGTGGGATGGGAACTCTGGTCCAACACATGTGGAAAGGTGCCTGGCTAGCTGGACAAGAGTCTGAGTGTGGAGAGCAGTCACCTGAGGAAGGAGACCACCAGGGAGTTCTTGAACTTTGAGTACGTGCGGGAATTGAAGCGGTTCATTCCACTAAAGCCTTGGCAAGGCGGCCCACCACACAGCATCTCCACATCGCCCTTCTGGGGAAGCTTCTGGCCCAGGGAGTTGGTCTTCTCGCCAGACATCACCAGCTTCAGCAGGATGTTGCAGTCCTCCGTGAACACCGTGGTGCCAGGGTTGTTGAGGCGGAACGCCTGTGCAGCCGGTTCCCACATCTCGATGGCCCACAGAGTCTCTGAGACTTCTGGTATTGGGAAAACAAACCACCAAACACAAAAACAAAGAACGAGAGCATTGTACTCGTAAGTGACTGATTTCTAAAAACCATGCGGAATTAGGAAAAATGCTTCTCATTCCATAAACCCAGGGGTATAACACCTCTGGCCAAGTGGCCAAATCCCATCCCTGCAAATCTGGCCCTGCTCCTTCTGCGGGACCCCACCTCCTTTCCTCCAAGTGTTTGTGCAGTGGCTTCCACAATCTAAAAGACTGCAATGCCTTTCCTAAGGCTTGGTTACTGGCAGTAAGATCCTTAAGCTAGAACATGATTGTGATTTTTAGTATTTTGGTCCTGCTTCTTTCCCCCAGTAGCTCAATCACCACAGGGATGTAGCCCTGGAGAGCTGCTCAGAAATGGACTCTGAGAGTGAAAGAGGTTCCCCATCCTGGCACAAAGCTGAAGCCACAATGGGCTCCATCATCTTGGCTAGCAGCTAGCACAGACACAGTGTAGCTGCTAATCCGGTGCTCCCCACCCATCCAGAAAAATGTTTTCCAAGTTGCCTTGCCTGCTTGGTGGAACCCCTCCGACAAGCCTCCACAGCCAGAAAAGACATCCAAACTGCGCAACTTTGGGGGCTTTAACTCAGTTGCTTCAACCTCATTGTGCTCAGCTGCTCCTGAAGATTTCCCTTTGCTTTTACCTACAGCAGAAAAAAAACACAGAACAGAAAGTGACAGAGCCTGTCATTCCCATTTATAACCACCCTGGGACTTTTAAAGAAACTGTAGAAGCGAACTAAAAAGTGGTGCACTGTAGTGTACAGGGAGATTTACACATAGCAAATGGGAAGGCCCACAGCTGGCTTTCTGTGGGGATCTGGATGCATTGCTTCCCCTACCTCCTTTTGCCAGTGCAGAACTGGAAGTGTGCCACCCACCATTTCCAGTTATTTTCTTGTAAGGCACAAATATTCTTCCCTCTAGGTCAGAGCAGGGTATCACAGTGGAACAAGAGGGTAGAGTGGATTCTACCACTTGAGGCTGATGGTGGTGAAGAGGACATGCCATTTTAAAAATATTTCCTGCTATTAAAAAGAACTCCCTGCAAATTAAAAGTGAGTGCATCAGGGAAAAGGTGCTGGCTGAACCTACTTCCTGCTCTGCTAACTTTCTACATGCAGGCCATATTTCATGTACAAAAGCATTCAGCTCTGCGATGAGACAGCCCACTGCACAGCCTTAAGGCTCCTGTTGTGCTGCATGCACCCAGCCTTAGATTTTAATTAACCTGGTGCAAAATTCTGATTTTTCTAAAGCCTGGCACTTACATGCCTTTGCTTTCCACTTCTTACAGACTGTGAGTTCTAAACCCAGAGTGATGATGGTAGTTAAGCACTTACCTTTCCCTTTTCCTTTCCCTTTCCCTTTATTTCCAGAGCTACGAGCATGATAAGGGGGGTCTTCAAAGCTCTTTGTTTTTGCGTTATATGCCTGGGGAAAAAACATGCATGTGAACAAAAAGCTCAAGGAAAACATTTTTGGCCTCCAAACCAATCCAGACTGATACACACACAAAATGAATTGTGCAAGTTCCTTGGGTTTCTGAGGATCTTGCACAATCTCCCAAGGATGCTTCAATCCCCCTGCACAACCTCCCAGGAATTTCTTCAATGCAAGTCCCACTGAAGGGAATAGGAAGGGGAAGAACCATGGCTCTGTGACAGAACACTTGTTTTGCAGCCAGAAGGCCTCAGTTTTGATCTTCAGCATCTCCAGTAGGGCTGGAATTACTCTGGCCTGACTCCCTGTGAACCGTGCCTGTCCGTCAGCACTGACAGTAGTGAGCCAGACAGGAACCCACAGCTGCCACTCAGTGTTGACACTCCTGGATCTAGAAGGACTGAGGGTCTGCCTCCCTTCTTACGTAGCTCTATTTTAAGGAGGTGGCACAGGAGAAGCCACCACTAGACTGGCTGGCACATGTGTATAAACCTGCACATTCCACCTCAGGCACCCAAATGCCTTGGCCTAGTTGGGGTTTCAGAAGCAGCTGCCTACATATGACCTAGCAGCCAATGTATCCATGCACTGCTGCAAAATCCCACTGATGTAGTGGGAAAAGTCACCTCTAGGAAGTAGAAACGATCAGAGCCACTCGCAGAATAGTCCTGGATGTTCTCTGTCAAATCCTCCCCATATACCACAGTACAACGGCCCTGCACATCTTTGAACTCCACTGTGGCTTCTTCATCACTCCAGTATAGCAAGTTGATATCTGCGTGGTAGCTGGCTTTCACAGACTTGTGCGTGTTCTCTGGCCTGGAGAGACAACACACACACAAACACACATGGGGATATGAGGATACTAGAAACAAGGAAAACCACAAAATCAGAACTGAATGGAAATGCCACTTGCAGAAACTTTAATAAACGTACAGGCCTGGAGAGAGTTTTTTATATTTTCAAGATCTCTTGAAAGGCCTTTTATGATTAACTTTCGCATATACTGACTTATCTTGTTTTTAGGCATTTTTTAAAAATTCTGTCTTAATTTCGAGAAAAGCCACCATGTGAGAATTTTTTTCCCTAGGAGACACTATAGACTGTGTCCATAAATAGTAAAAAATGCCCAGAAGAACACACTGCAGTGTTACTTAAATGTTCTAACCCTGGTTTCCTCTACCCTATTGTCATCAGTTCAGCATGTTTGTAACTTACCCTGAATGGTCTCTCCTTTTCTTCTTCTGTATCTTCTATTGATTTGCTTTATTTACCTTCCCAACTTGCCCACCAATCAGTTTCCACCTGAATCACCTGCAACCTCTGTGCATTTTCCTAGCCATACTTTATCACTGGAATGCTTTGAGACTCCCAACATCTGCCTCAAACCATCCATCCATCATACTAAGCATGCAGCATTTCAGACTTATCTTTTTGCTTAGGCCTTCCCCCTCTCATTTGTTCTCTACACCTTCAGCAACCCAAACATTTTCTTCTTGAGACTGTGCTAAAGAGACTCAAAAAAGGACATAGACTTTACACTTTATGTTGTGAGCCGCCCCGAGGCTTCGGTGAATGGGGCGGCACAGAAATGTTTTAATAAAAATAAATAAATAAATTCACAAAGGTTGTTCCTTGCATCTCATATCTTTTTCTTGAACAGTAAACTGAAAAACGGGGGTTGTCTCCTTTTTATAATTAAAGGGTGCCCAGTCCATTTGCAAGGGCTTAGCAAATATTACACTTCACTCCAGCACTCTGATCCTGCAAGTTATTAAATGCCAGCCTTCCCCCACCCCTGCAGGTGCTCAAGTGTGCAGTGGGAACAAAGAAAGTGGGAGATGCAGGACTTCAAGTGGGGGGGGGGGGCTGTTCTTTCCAGTGCCAATAGAACAGGGACCCCCAACCTTTTGGACTTGTATGCACATTTGGAAATTTGAGAAACTTCTGTGGGCACCCCCACAAAATGGCGTCTCGAAAGAGGTGGAAGGGAAGAGAAAGAGCAAGAACAGGGGCTAGGAATGTCCAGGAAGAAGGCTAGGGATGGGAAAAGGAGACAAACAGTGAAGGGAGAGAAGCAGTAAGGCCAGAAGTTGGAGAGACAGGAGAGAGCAAAAAGGAAAGGTCTGAGTGTATGGAAGAAGATTTGGTATGTTTACTCTTTTCTTCTGGTCTGCTGAACAGCTGATCAGCAGTAGGTTCAGGAATACCTAGAATCCCAGTATTTTTCTAAATGTTTTATTAAAAAGAAATGTGTAGAAGGGCTAGGGAGTGGAGGGTATCCTAACTTCCTTTGGAAGTGCTGAAGGCACCACTTGGGAAATCCTGGCTTTGGAGGAGTAATTCTTCCTTCAAAATTCCCTTCCTCTGCCTGCTGAGGTGCTGATCATGATCATTCCCTCCCTCCCTCCCTCCACTGCTGTCTGCATTCTAAAAATGTACACATAAAAGGTAATGCATATTTAGAGCCACATCTATTTTTGGCCAGCTTTTCTCTGAAAAGCAAGTTCTCAAGTTTGTTGCTGCTTTGCTTGGTTTTCTTTTAAGAAAGGCCTCTGCTTGAAGGATCTTGGCCACTAGATATTTGCATCCAGTTATGCACCCACTTCAAGTCATGCATTGCATCCCTTGCTGGACTAGTGTGCTATGTCAATTTTGGCTATGGGAAGGGTAATCGAATTCACCAATAGTTTTTCGTGTTTTCATCCCAGCAACAAAACCAGGTGAGCTGTTGTTTACCTGTACAGTTTGTAGACTCGCAGCTTGATTTCTGCTTCGTTGGGTTTGCCATTGCTGCGGATGTTGCAGAAGATGGCTTTGATCCGGCCAATGCGGTATGGTTCAGGAGCATCTTGATTGCTTCCCTTGATGTATTCAGAGTATTTGCGGTAATGCTCAGGATACAGTTCCTCATTGACGGCTTCCTTCTTCTGGCGTTTAACAGGGCTAGCCAATTTGAGGCTAAACAAATAAAAAATTAAGAGCCAGGACAAATGAGGACCAAAGTTGGCATTTATTTGCAGTGCAGGAAATTGTGCCCTTCCCAGCCACCTTTCAGGCTGTTGATGAGCAACTAAACAACTTAACAGTGGAATGGGTATGGGCAGACAGACTAGCAAAAATGTTTCTGGCCCAGTAACTTGTGTTGATTTCCGGCATCTTATTAAAATGTGACAGTATTTGCATATCTAGGATATGCATGAGATGGCATAGCTTGTATATTTGCATGTTTTACTTTCTAACCAACAAAATCTGTCCCCCCACAAAAGTTTGTGCCCTTAGCTCAGTTACACTGAGATATTGAAAGTGATTATACGAATCAATTACATTTTAGTTCCTTAATCTAGATGTTGAAGTACTGCCCTGTTACACACTATAGAAAGTGTCCGGGAGCTTCACATTGCCACAATTGTATGCTAAGATCTTACTCCCTTATTAAACCCTTTAACTCTATCTTATCTTCCTTTTACATACTGCTCAGTAAGGTCAAGTACAGACCAATCGTGTCTCTGCATTCCTGACCTTTAGTGCTGCTCAAATTGTTGTGAACCACGCAGAGAGCTCTGGCTATTAGGCAGTATAAGGAAGGAAGGAAGGACAGATGGACTGGTCCAGGTTTGCCCTGTTCATCCCCATAAATCTGCTACCCAGGTCATTTGGTTCTTACCCTCCCGCTCTCTTTTCGTAGTGGGGATCTAGAAAAACCCCAATCCTTTTCAGGTGGCTCTTAAACACAATGGGAAATGGGTCTTTCTTTTGAATTTGTTTCTGTTAAACACTAAAAAATATACAGTATGTTTTAAGTGCTCAGCTCAACATGCATTTCTGATCCATTCTGCAATTCCTGTCTTATTGCCTAAGGAATTAGTCACCTCACCCAATTAGCCTTGCCTCACCCAGAGCTAGTTCAAGAACCCACCTGAATGAGAAGGCATCTGGCAAGAGGAAAACGCCATCGCCCACACGATACTGCACCCCATTTTTCATTGCCACACCATAGAACAACTTCCCTTCTGACTCCTCTTGCGGCTCAATGACTTTGGGGATTTCCTTCTGCCTCACTTCGTCCAAACGAATACAACTCATGCAGAACCTAGGGAAAAAAGAGGCCTGGTATGACCTGCAGGAACAACCAACCAACCTCTCACCTGCTCCCCAAGAATGGGACTCTAGAAGCAGGTCAGAGCACTCAAAGCATTGCTATAAAGCTGCATTACACAGAATAGCACCTGCTGACTGGCCCTTCCCTCCACTTTCCATATATTCTGGTTGAAAGCTTCCCTGGACCCCACCCCTTAGCCATCCACTGCCATGCACTAACTTGTGTTTGTTGTCTTCCGTGGGCTGGATTTTTGGTGGAGTCTCGAACCTGGCATACTCCTGATCATACCACATTTGATAGAAATAGGTTCTGCCATCGTCTTCCACCATTTTGATCTCCACATCAAGTCCTCCCTAGGGGAAGAAGGTGAAAGTTTGGGTGGTGGAGAGAGAACAAGCAGAGCATCACAGCAAGACAAGAAATGCCTGCCATCGGTTCTAGTACACTCTTGCTCACAAGTGCGCATGCACAAGCACATCACAGAAGCTACCAGGACAGATGTCCTATCCATGAGGAATTCCTGACTGCAGAATGTTCTCAATGGTAGCACATGGGCAGGACAAACTTCAAAATTATCTCAGAGTGGGGAAGTAAGAAGGATGTTCAAGATAGTCCTTCAAAGATGGGAAGTGAACTAAGACACAGTTCTCTTTCTCACACATTTTTCTCTTACAGAAAACAATGTGTCCCATCCATAACAGCTTGCTTGGTAGAAGGAGAAGGGGAGAGGGAAAAAGAGAAGCAACGAGGTGGCAGGAAATGAAAACACTCGCCCACTTTAAGTCTGGGTTCAGTCAACTCTTGAGAGAAAAAGGTTGCCCATGCCTGGTTGAAAGGGAGGAGAGGAATGGAAAACTGCCCAGTGGTTTTTCTTCTGCAGAGCAGGGGCATCCCAAGGGCAGCTTTCCCAGGGTTCTCCCAAAGCCGGAGAATCAGGAAAATCAGGGCATTCTCTTAGCTCGTGAACTGCTGTTAGCCTGGAGTCTACCTTCCCAGAGAGGGACAGCAGCATTGAAGAATGTACCTGTAGGGACCAGTTTTCTGAGGGAGCCTTATAAATGACATTGACTTTGCCATGAATGTAAGCCAGCTGCATGTCTTCACACTCATCCACCAAGAAGAGCTCCAGTGGGTCAGAGGTTGCTCCCAGGACGGTGTCCGTACCACGGCAGAACCAATGGACATGAAACATCGGCTCGTTGTTAGCATCTTCCCACATGGCTGTGATTCTGGGGGGTGCAGAGAGGAGGCAGGAAGGGGAAAGAATGAGATCCAAAACAAACTCGCTACAAAGTTCTCCCACTGCTTGAAATCCCCTTTTCTCTCTGTCCCAAGTGCTCCCAGGGAAGGAGGCCCAGCTGGCAAGAAGGCATGGAAGAGCACTTGGGGGAGGGAAGGAAGAGGCATCCTCTGTTCTAATTTTGTGCAAGTCCAAGAGTGATGGGATTCTCCAAAGGTTAGCTGGGATCCTTCCAGGCAGCTCTGCGAAGGAGGGTCAGTGACATTCCCACCTGCACATACTGTAGGTCAGGGCATGATGGGCTAAGGCTGGGAGAGGGGAGATCACACGAGGCCCCCTCAAGCGAGTTCTTGATTGAGGTGGGATTTCAGTCTCAGGTTAAAAAATCAGCTTCACTGAGACTACACTCGAATAGTTCCCAGAAAGAGACACACATGCATTCAGAACATGTGGATACACACCTCTGATGATCAAGAAGCACTATAATAGTCAGCAGATCATCTTTTTACTTGTTACCATGCTCGGCACACACATGCCTTTGCGTGTGTGTAGCCATCTTTTACATGCTTTCTCAGAAGCCAGGTCCATTGTGTTCAATGGAGCTTTCTCCTAGGTAAAAGCATACAGGCCTTTTATCCTCCTCATCAGTCCATCATGCAACTGTTATGTCCAGATAAAAAAACTGATGTAAGATTCCTAGATAGCCTTTATCCATGTTGTGGTAGCACTTTAAGTTTGAGTGCTTGCTGGCTCTGAACAGCATGTTTATTTCCAGGCTGACTGACCTTGCCAGATAGAGGGGCTTCGTGGGGTCATCTGGGCTGACAGAAACACAGTCGCCAACTTGCAGGGTCTCTGAGTCAATGCACACCTTCTGGTAGTAGTTCTTCTTACCATCACTCTGTAGGCAGAGAAAGGGAGACATGCTACTAACAGGACAAGTGTTGAAACAGGGGTCTTGAAGCCTACACAACAAGTACACAGGGTTCCTAATTGCACTGCCATCACACCATCTCAGAATTTTTTTTCTTGACAAAAGGGAGATTACATCATGGACAAAAGAAATCAGGCTCACAGCGTGGAACTACTGCATCTTTAGTTCCCTGAATGACTTCTTTTTTTAAGAAGCAAATTCTAGACATCATGCAGAAAATAATAAAGGGCCAAATGATGTTTCTGAATCACAAGTGATTTAAATAGGATATCAGGCCTTTTTGCACACTGTCTGATACTATAGTGATCTAGCAATCCACACAATGTCAAGTGGAGCATGACAGACAAAATCCAACAAAACCTACAGCAGCTCAACTCACACACAGGTCAAGAGGGGAACCCAAAGCTACTTGTTTTTCAAGCTGCCTTAATGCATGGCCTTTCTCAGGCAGGGAGATACCTTGACAGGGTCTCCCACCCAGGAAATTCGGTTCTTGCTTTGCTTTTTCTTCCTTCCTTGCAGCATCTTTTTGGGGGAGGGCACTTCAGGAATGTTGTCATCCACCTCTTCATCTTCATCCGCTTCTTTCACAGCCAGGTTGGGGCACCTAGAACAAGTCAAAAACAAGCACAGCACATGTGCAGTTAAGAAATGAAGCTTTACCAATCCAGCTTCTTGCCTGCCTCCACCCACCAAAAACACCCAATTCCAAATGTTTCATGCAAATTTCCACAACCAAAATACTATATTCATCTACTGCACCTTTAAAAGTTTTACACTGCATTTCCCCCCATCATTACAATTCTGGACACTTGGCAATATTGAACACCTTCTGGAGATCTTTCAAATGGGACAGTCTGTCTCAACCTGGCACCCTCCAGATGTTTTGGAATCCAGCTCCTGTTGGCCCAGCCAGCACTGCCAATGGCTAGAAAGGACAGGCGGTATTGTAGCCCAAAACATTTGGAGGGTACCAGGATGGTACAGCTCATGAGACAATCAGTCTTATTTTTCATTGAAAATTAAACTAGCTCTTGTTATTGTAGACATGGGAATGAAGAGAAATGCATCCGCTCAGAGACAGAAAACAAGGATGTAAGCAATAAAGCTTACATTTGTAATTGTTCAGTTATCATTAATTTCAAATTTTTATGGCCTTATATTTCAAGAGCCAACATGATTATCCATTAGCACTTATATACCGCTTAACGTAATAAAATCCCTAAGCAGCTTACATATGTACCACTTTTCATGTATTTTGTTTAAGGATGAGAGGTTTTCAGCCTCTTATCTGAAAAGATAAAGATCTTATCTGAAAAGAGTTTTATGTATTCTATCCTGCCTTTGTAGAATGTAGGATGTATGTCTGTCCTGCCTTTTACATTGTCCTCCTCCTTCCTTTTGTCCTCTCAACAACCTGAGAGGAAAGTTAGGCTGAGAGTCACATCAGCAGGTTAGGCTCTTTGCTGCTCTCCAAAGCCTACAATCCCCATGCTGCAGTGGGACAGTTTAAGCTGACAAAGCAAGAGTGTACATGATGGTGGTTTACCTGTGATCCTTCTGCTGGCAGGCAAAACCTTTTTGACTCAGACAGGACTTTGGCATTCAAACTGGTCTGCTACTAAGCAGACCTTTAACTGGTTGGCTTATTTACTCTTGTGCATTTAGTTTCTCTTTAATTTCTTTGTTTTCCTGTAAGTCTTAATTAAGGTTTTGTTTTTAACCTGGGAGTTATTGTTAGTGATCTTGAGTGCCTTTCTTTGGCAGAAAGGCAGGATACTAAACAAACCAACAAATGAATTAGCTAATTCACAGTTCAGGTCAGTCACTGGCTTGCCCATCCCAAACATTTAGCACCTGGCACATCAAGACAAGGGTCATGTAGCTACCTTCGCTGTTGGCAGGCCTGTTTTGACTTCCCACTGCCACCAAACTTAATCATATCCTGGCAAGCTTTGCATTTGCCACACTCTGGCTGCTGGCAAACCTGGATAGAGAAAAAAGTAAAGAGTTCAGTCAACACAGACAACATGACCCTTCTGTTGCCCAATGAGCCCTCACACTAGTGCTACCTGCATCTTTGAGTGCTGGACAGACATTTCACAATCCAGTGTGAACTGATGCACAAACAGGAGACTGTTAACCAATAGGAAAAGGAAATACTGACCCATCTGTCCATCAGTGGTAATTACTAGCAACCTCAAAAACATGATCTCTGAAATGAGGGACAGATCCTCAGTAAAATGAGGGAATCATCCACTATGGCATAAATGGCATTAAACATTTTTTTTGTAAGCCACCTTCTACCCAAGGTCCAAATTCTACTTTGGAGAAGCTTGGGAAGGGACTGCAATCCAGTGGTGGGAGGACAAGAGGCAAAGGAATGGAGTCAAACACAAAAGGGGTGAGGCCAAAATACCAATTTATTGCAGTTTAAAGTTCCTGTGGTGAATAATTAAGTCTTAGCAGCAGCAAAAAGCTGGGAAGCCACTGAACAATCCACTGTACAGGAAAAGGGGGTGTGGCCAGGGAAAGAGGGCAGGGCCCCCTGCAGAGCACTGGAAAGCCAGACTTGGTCCCCATGCCTGAGGTTCCCCACTCCTGAATTCTACTTAACAGAGCAGAATGTTCCTCCCCTCCACCCACTGCCACCCAAAAAAGGGCATATCTTAAGAACCTGTCAGGAAGGACCTAGCAATGAGACTCAATTCGCAGATCACAAACACGTTTTATTCTTCTTCAGTTTCCGTCCTGTTCTCTTTGATGGAGCTGAGAGTTAACAGCACCTGGTCAGAGTGTGTCCCACCAATTTTGGTGCACATCATAGTGGCCTTCTCTAGCCGCTATTTACAGAAATCTGCAAGCATATCTAGAAATTCTTCCTCAGAATTAGGAACTCTCCCCTGCTGTCCTTTAGTGATAGAAACTCAGGGTCAGGGAAGAGTGCAGCAGTGCATAGCCTAGCTTCTGTCTGCCTTTCCTGCTTCAAATAAAAGCACTCTGTTAAGCCTGCCTACTACCATGCTGGAAGGCATGATGGCAACTGCAGTCCAACACATATCAAAGACATGGGGTTAGGAAAGACCACGTCATGCAAACCCCATGAGAGGTTGAGCTTAATCTGCATACTTTGTTGTGAAACAGGCAGCTCTGTGTTGGCAGAATTTGAGAAGGCTCGCCTAGGAGCAATGCAGTGGCAGAAAAGCAAAGGGAAGGTTTCAGTAAAATAGAGACCAGTGAATTACCAAAGACACGGAAGCTTTGCTCCCTGAATGCTAGAACCTTTTGTCCCCCATGCATGCAACCACTGGCCTTATGCAGGCAAAGCAAGGTTTGGACCAGCAAGACAGCCTCACTGCATAGTTACCTCACAGACGCCACAGCGCCTGCGCTTCATCACATTCTCCTTGTCCTCCTCCTTCTCATTCTTCTCTATTTGCTCTGAGAAGAAAGTGTCAAAGATCAAATAGACCAGCTTGGTGGTGGTGGCTTTGGTGGGCCCTTTCTCCTTATCGATTTTTGTGGGGTGCCTGATGGCCTGCCTTCTGGCAGCTCGCCTGGAAGAGAACAACCATGAGAAAATACACACCAGCAGCATTCAGCTGGATCCACAATAACCTGGAACAAAATGGATTTCCCCTTCTTTCTCTCAAAGTGACTACAGGAGTCTGTCTTCCTTTTTTAATGTTTTAATTATTTTCTCTACTAATTTAAAAACAACAATTATTCCAGAGACATCGGGCATGCTGGGTTAATATCTTATTCTTATTACAATTAATATATGTTTCAGCTCTACATATAGTCCCATTTCTAGGAGTCTGTCCTCCTGTGGACAGGAGAAATGTTCATTCATCTGAGTTGCTCTTCAGATAGCAAAGTGCTTAACTATAAGTGGCTGTAGCTCAGGAGCAAAACATGCGTCCTGCATCACAGGTTCCAGGTTAAATTCCCATGTAATGCTGAGAAACAGTCTCACCTGAAACCACGTAGAACTAGGTAGATTGGTGTTCTCACTCAATATAAGCCAATGTCCTGCCTTCCTAGCCCTTTTGAACAGATAGTAACTTAGAGTCGATCCTTGTTGAGGTGCCAGACCTTCAGCCAGGCTGCATTCCTTCAAACTGCAAAGTGACTGAATATTGTCCTTGCGGAGGGAAGGCTATCGTGTCAGAGAGAAAAGCGCTTCTCTCCAGCATGGACAGCATGGAATAGCTGGCACAGGAGAGTGTCCCATCAGATATGGCCCTCACCTCTAAGCTAGAAGCAGGTTTACCACTTCAACCAAGAACCAGCTCAGTCTTCTCCAACCTGGTTCCCTCCTGATCTCTTGGACTACAGCATGGAGGAAAGTTTACTACCTCACTCATGAACTAAGTCAGCTTTTCCCAGCCTGGTACCTTCCAGATGGTGGGGGTTGAAGTTCAAGATTACACTGGTCTACAAATTTTGGGAAATCATTGACCTCCAATATAAAATGTGCTAATTCTTACATATTTTGATTAGATGAATTAGAAAACAGGTGATAAAGGTGCTGCTTGGCTAAAGTTTTCAAGATATTTCACAATAAAGATTTATACATAGGCACGTATATTTGCCTACAAGGGAGGGAGGTGTCTGATGATCATGATGCCTCGTAACTTTTCAGCAAAGTACAGTAGAACAATGAAAATGGTACCACATGGAAGTGTATAATTTATCTTCACTTTGAGACTAAAGATTATTACCTAACTGTAATTTATTGTTCTTTTATTGCAAGGTACATTTGTCTTGGTCAGATCTACGCATCATACAGTTACATCTGGTGGCTTGTGAAAGTGTCATTGCCTAACATTTCCAAGGAACAGTTGCATGATATTTTTCCTCATAAGCCAAGCTGCCTCGAAACTGTGTAAACAATGCCACAGGTAACTTCCGCTACATTTGTGGCGAGATTACACTTGCATCTCAAAAGTGCAGTATGACGGCAGTGGTAAAAAAGCCATACCACCTATATTTTGGATGCAAAATAGGGGATTAGGACAAGAGTTGGGCCCTCATTATTGTTGCTTTATATGTTCAAACAACACAGGGGAGAGAGCAGCTCCCTACAAGCCAGAGACGACCGGGTATAAAAGCATCAGAATAATATCTAGAAGTTCATCGGACCTGCTGGGTGAGCATTTCTATTTTTTTTCCCCTTCTCAATACTACCCGTGAAGATCTGCTCCAGTTGTTAATTGGCATAAAGAAGAAAAGATAAGCCCTTTGACGGAGGGACGAATTCTTCCTCCCCCCACGGAGTTTCAAGTGGTGACTGATCTGGGGGAGAGGAACCAAGGCTCTTTTGGAAAGTTTGAGGCTAGAGAGAAAGATCTTTTTTTTTATTCTAACCTCCCCAAGGGCGAAGAATTAGAATAAATAATTACTGTGGAATGAATGATAGAAGATAAAACTTCCTTTGATTGGCCATTTTGATCCTTCCTCACAATAACTTTCATGCCAAGAACTTGTGACGTCATTCTGAAGGCAAAAATAGCCCTTTGCTGCCACCCTGTAGTTATTGGATTTATAGCAAGTTTCTACTTTTTTTTTCTTTTTCTTTTTTCTCTTCTCTATTTCTCTGTTGTTGTCTGGTAATTTTTGCCAAAAAAAAAAAAAAAAACAAACAAACAAACTCTTATCATCATGAAAAAAATATATTCTTCCTCCTCTTCGGCTCCTACATCAGCTGCTCAGAGTCCTACTCATCAGCCTAAAGCGGCAGATGTTGAAAAATATCAAAAAGAGCTACAAATGATGCTTTTGGAGATACAGACATCCTTAACAGCTTTGCAAGTATCCCAAGAGGCGATGTCAACACGACAGGAAAGCATTTTAATTGAACAAAGAGAACGTCCTGACAAACTGGATAATTCTATTAAGGAGGTATCAACCCGATTGGTGGGTTGATAACAGAATGCCCAAAAAATACAAGCACATGAGAAACTTGAAACTGTAGATAAAGAGACACAATTAATAAAGCAAACAAACAAGTCACTATGGGATTTGCCTGTTATACTAGAGATGAAGAAGGTACCTAACTATTTGAGCAAGATTATGCTTTGGTGGAGAATGACAGAAGGAATATTTTTCATCTGGAACTTTACAAGATATAAATTGGACTCGACTTTTAAGGCACAAGAGTTTTATGATAAACTTAGAAGTATGCTTCAAGAGGAAGAACCGGGTGCCTCAAAAGGAGGGGGGATAAATGTTGAACCAATGAAATTAACAACATATCATTCTGACTTACAACAAGAAGTACAGACACTGGAAGTGGACACTGATTTACAACAAGTACAGATACTGAAAACGGAGGAAGAGAGAAGAGGTAGGGGTGTAAAGAAGAAATAAGAGAATTTTGTATTTTAAAGGAAATGATTTGCAATTGGATTGGCACGTTTATATGTGGTATGAGAAGGCTCAGTCACATGGTTCTTTTTTAAGTCACTATATTAGAAAATCATTAACATCGGTGGGGGAAAAATTAAAGATAAAATTGTATAAACTTGATAGGAAAATGAGAGACGAATAGATTAAGGAAACTATGATAATGTGGGCACAAAATTTTGGATATAATATTGAATTAGAAAAGTGGTAATAGCTGAAGGAGAGAAATATCAAGGTAATATTGGCAACTTTGTATAAAAAAACTTGTACAAAATGTTTTATAGATGATATCTGTCGCCAAATAGATTAGCTAAGATGTTTCCAAATATGTTAAATGGATGTTGGAAGTATAAATATAAATTGGGTACTTTTACTATATGTGGTGGATTTGTGATAATGTGAAAAACTATTGGATTAAAATACATAAATGGCCTGTGGAAATGTTATAAAAATCCTTAGCTTTTAAACCTGAAGTTTTTTTTATTAGGCATTATACTGGAGGATATTAGTAAACAAGAAATGTATTCGATTTTATATGTAATCACTGTGGTGATGATTGTATTCACAGAATACTGGAAAAGTGAAGAACTACCCATCGATGAATTGATTCTAAAAAAAAAAAAAAAAAAATCCTGGACTGTGCAGAAATAGATTGACTTTATCATTGAAGGAGAAGGAAGATATTGACTTCTATCAAATTTGGGACTCTTTTTATTATTGGCTAGAGAAACGGGACTTTGCATAGATTTAAATATGTTTTTAAAGTTATTATAAATGGGAAAAGAAGGGTGTGGGGGTTGACCCAGCAGGCTCGATGTTTTTTTGATGATGGATGTTTTTTGTAGTTTGTTGTTTTTTAGGATTATAATTCAAATAAAACTTATTTTTAAAAAATGAAGAAGAAAAAGTCCATGCTTTTTGTGGTCCCAATGGTGTGGAGGGAACCCACCAATCATAGTAGTGACTGCTATTTTTGCATGGTTCCCCCAATTGCAAAAGGGATCTCAAGAAAGAAAAAGTGGACCGTGGAACATGCAAACATTCCATCCGCACTGCGTCCTGTACCCCATGGTGAGGACTTGCCAATTCCAGATCCACCAGAATCCTACTCTCTAGACTCCGATGATGATAAAGACGATGAGCAGGATGCAACTGATCCGGGGCTGTCGATGTCAGTGGACCCAAACTTTAGCCCACCATATGCTCCTCCTGAACCACATCTAATTTCACAGAGTGAACTAAATGACCATTCTCATTGCTGTATCACATTTTGCAGAAAAGTTATGGAGCACAATCACACATCCCCCTTGTAATTTTGAATTATTTTGATGCAATATGTACCTGAAGCTGTATCTTGGAAACGGGAGCCAATTAATACTCGGGACTTACTTTTCCTTTATTAGTGTCCCAATTCTGGTAAAATGTAGCTACTTTCATTTCTGAGGCTTTCTCCTTGTAGACCAGCGTTACAAGAGGACACAGGTTAAGAAATGCTGACCTAGGTCTTAATTTCACATGGGAGCCAGACAAGCAGAACTGGTCAGGATGATGGGCTCTTTAGTCCAACAGATCAGGAGAGCACAGTTCTGGGGAAAAGGGTCCAGGCCTTGATTCTAAGTGGGAACCAGGTAAGCTCAGAGAGAGTATCAAGGGCATTCTGTGCTAAGAAAACCTAAAGCCGCACACCACCACCCCAAGTGAACTGCCTCAGTGGAATCTTTCACTGCTTACAGGCATGGAGAACAACTGGGGTCTCTGCATCCCTCTGCATCCCCACACACTTGCCTGCCACTTCTGCGCAAACTGGCCCAGGCTAGAAAGAAGATCCATTTGGATAGAGGCACGAGCAGGGAACCCTAGTTACCTAGAAACTGCTCAGCTACATCCTCATCTTCAGACAGGACAGTCCGACTTAGTTCTACATGACTACCGGTAGGAATATATGGGCCAGAACATGCTAGGGGATGCAGAATTCTGTTTCCATGGAACCTTCCTTTTTTACAGAAAGCTTTTAGCCCTGTAAAAGGCTAATGGATATGTGCCATTGGATATGCGCCAATGGCCTGTCAGGCAACATGGACTGAAATACAAAAAGCCACTGGAATGGCTGGATTTGGGGCAGGGGGTAAGTGCTGTGCATAACAACCTGTGCCTCCCCAAGACCGCTTTTGTTGCTCATTTTAAAAGCAGAGAATGCAAAGTCCTCTTTAATCCCTAGCAAAGTAAGAACAATTTCTCATAAGAAGCTGCTGGCCTTTCCTTTTCAGGAAACCTGTCTCTGGTCCAGGGTGCAACCTGCTGCTGCTGCTGTACCTCTTTCCCAGTGTGACTCCAGCCAGCTTTATCAAGTCTCTCATGCAGGGTGTGATGAGAACAGGAGGCTCATCGCTGTCTCCTGCTTCGTCATAGCTTTCCACTTGTTCCACCACAAACTGGGCATGTCGGAGGAGGGAATCTTCTGTGAAGCGGTTGAAGTTCAGCCCGGCAGGTGGGACTGTGGTCTGGAAAGAATTACAGGATGTAACCATTCTGTTGTTTCCAAGCAGAAAAGCAAGAAAGAAAAGTCACTGCAATGGCAGCTGTTCAGCCAGCTGGAAAGGCAGCCTAGTGGAGTGGCAGGACTAGTGGGCCAGGACTAGCAGTGGAGAGACCCAGGCGCAAACTCTTGCTCAACCTTGCTGCTCACAGGGTGGTTCTTGCTCTCAGAATAACCCTCCTCATAAGATATTTATAGGCTGCTCAGAGAGTCCACTTGTGGGCTAATATAAACTGAAATAATAAATATGTTTTAAGGAAGAGGAGGCAGTGGGAGAAGGACAGACAAGCTCATTGTAAATTTAGCACAGCAAAAAAACTTTACATATATTATCTATATAGTATTCCTATCACAACTCCCTTAAATAGGGCTAATCACAAATTTGAAGCCGACCAATTTGTGCTACCAATTTATTTTATGAACAGGTTATGAGAGCCACTGTTAGTGTTGGACTGGGACTCAGGAGACCTGGGTTCTCATTGCCATGCATCCATGAAGTTAAATGGATGACTTTAGAACAGCTGTCAATTCCCAGTCTGATGAGGAGAGGATTCTTTGCAGGAAAAGGCAAGATAGAAATATAATAAAATCAAAATGAGTTTTAAGTCATATAACATTTCTATTGGGAAAGATAGCAATGAACCATTTTCTGCAAGTATCTCTATGGAATGCAGGAGCAGTTTCATGGTTTCAAAGGAAGCTATTCCACCAGTTTGTTTTCGTTTACTCAAAGGCTGGCTGCTGTTTTCAGGGATATGATGCATGAAGTCTCCATTAAGCTACATGGGAACCTTTGGCAAGAGATGCTAGGAATGGAGCCTGGGACATCACGCACACAAACCCCATTCTCCACTACGGAACAATGCAACTTCTCCAAGGTAACAACAGGATGTAAAGACCTTTGACTTCCATTCCCAGCTAAACCACAGTTTTGCATCGCTGAAGGTCTGATGAACCCAGTATTCAGTATTGCTTTTGCAGCTCCTCAGGACTGCAACATCCATTTTGAAAACCATGATTATAGTACGAGAAGCTGGCATTCCTCCTCTTCTTACATACAAACACAAAACATAGCTCCTCTGATGCATCTAACTAACCTCTATCTTGTTCAGCAAGTCCTCGTAGCTGACATCAGGATTATTTTGCAAGAATTCAACTACAATCTTGCTCATGTAGATCTTCTCCTGCATCAGTGCAAAGATGGGGGCATATTCCTCACTCGGTTCCATTAGGATGTAATCCGCAAACGCTAGAATACAAACGCAAGTATGTGGTCTGGAGCATGTGACTTGAGCTATGGATGCATACACACAACTAGGCGTGAGCTGACTGATTAGGAACTTAAGTGTGACCACCGAAACCATGCATGTCAAACCTCTCAACCTGAGGGCCAAATCCCATTTTGGAGAAGCCCCTGTGGGACATGCTCCAGCAGAGAGTGGGAGCCAGAGGTAAAAAGAGAAGAACAAATAACACCAGTATATTTTAACTTATAACTCTGGCTGCCAGTTAGGAGACACACTGGGGGGAGGGGAAGCGTGCAAAAGCTAGGAAACCTCCAAATGAGTAGCAAAAGGGAAAGGGCATGGCCATCTGGGGAAATCCAGACGACCAACATGGGGCACTAGCCTCTTACAGATTTGGTCCACAGGCCTGAGGTTTAACAGTCCTGATGCAAGGGGAATGGGTCTGGCCAACCTGGCAACTCGATCAATGCCACTGGTTTCTCCAGCATGTCCTTGTTCAACTTACCTGTGGTGAAACCAATCAAGGCTTTCTCCCCTCCATCAAAGCCAGTGATCCACCATGCATTGATGGGGCCCATCTTTCTGGCCCGAACACCTCCTGAATCAGTGAGGAGAATGGGGATGTTTTTTAGTATTTATTTTAATATTTATTTTTGTTATGAAAAATAACAAAAACAATGAAACCATACCATAAATGCAAATACAAAAACACCCACCGCAACATTTGAGTATTATTTAAGAAAAAAGACTCATAGTACTGGTTACATATACATTACATATCCTTATTTATCAGCATATTATAAAATGGGGCGGACCAACACGTGGCCCGCTTGCAGCCCCCGAGGCCTTGTCCCACAGCCCTCTTGCCACTTGGACCCCACCACTGCCCCACCCCAAGTCCAGATCCCATCAATGGAATGGGCACGATTGCAGCAAGCTCTCTCAAGGCCACCGACCTGTCCTGCTCTCTTTGGCTTGGGCTGGTGGCCCTGAGAGAACTCGTGCCAGTATGTCCTGCCCATTCCTGCTGATGAGCACAAAAGTCCTGAGCACTTTCATGTTAATCAGCTGGAGCAGCACGGGGCCACCAGCCTGACAATCTCTCCCCAGCTGATCTGGTGGCCCTGCACAACTCCAGCTGAAGCACAAAGCACTAAGCCCAGGAGCTGAGCGCCCTTGTGCTCATCAGCAGGACATGGGGCAGCACTGCCAAGGGGATCACTGGGCAGGAGGCAGGCATGCCCAATCCCCTGGCACTGCTGCCTGTCCCCGAGGTCATGCTGTGGCCACTGAATGAACCCAGCACCCTCACCTCCTCCCACCTCATGCCCAAGAGTAGACCTCTCCAGCAGCCACAACTAGTGTCTGCTCTGCCATGCTGAGTGGGCCAAGGACCCTTTGTCAAGAAGTGGTGGATCCCGACCATCTTGGCCAGTGGCTTGAGAGGTCTCCTTTCAGGCTGCCAGCAAGAATGACCATGATAACCTCACATGGGTAACAACAACCCTAGCACAAGCCATGAGCACTGGAGGGTACTACGTTTGACACAAGAAGCCATGCTTGGTGAAGCTGCCCTCAGTCACACACCACACAACAACCCATCTATGATCACAAACAAGGGGGGTGTTCTCATGTTGTCCCAACTAGGTCATCAATTGGGTTCACATGGCACTGACTGGTTAATCAGTGATGATAATCAGCAGCTGGTTGTTGTGTCATACAAACACAAGTGCAGGGTACCCACTGTGGGTAGCGTTTTGCAGACCAGCCATGCTGAGAATCCATGGGCTGTTTGGGGTTCTATTTTGAGCGTAGTGGGTTGTTGTGACACCTGAACCTGGGTGACAGATCACATGAAGTCCCACAGCCAGTATTCCACTCTGCAAAAGTGGCAAGCACCCCCTCTGCTGTGCTGTCCTTGGCCACTGGCACGCGTCCCAGGCGTGCCCAAGCAGCACTTGGGAGTGGCTGGCACAGGCTCCTCGCTTCTCTGCTGCAACACCAAGCTGTTTTTGGCTGCCCAGTCCCCATGTGGAGGGCCTTGAGCTGCCCTTTCAAAGTGCCCCACTCACTCATTGGAGCAGCTCCCTCAGGAAGAGAGCGGGACAGGCAGGCGGCCTCAAGAGAGCGCACCCCAGCAGGTCCCTCGTCAGTCCAGCTAATGAGTGCAAAGGTGCCCAGGAGCCGAGCAGCTCTGCGCTCATCGGCAAGAGTGGGAGGGCACGCTGGGGAATTTCTCAGCTCAAGTACAAGAGGCTCAGCACACCAATTCCAAGAAGGAAGGATGGGGTCACATGGTAGAGCTTCTGGACAAGAGAAGCAAGGAAGGAAAGGACAGACCACCCCAGAGAAGCGGTCATTGTGCTTGGGCTGTGGTTGGGGGAGGAGCTGCCTGTGAACTATGCAGGGATCACTGGCCCACAAAGCATTCTCAAGCCAACTCTGAGACTTCATATTGGTTTTCTCCCTTGTTTAATGGTTAGATATATTAATTGTGTCTATTAAATTAAATATATTGGGAACACTTTAATTTACTATATGGTAATGTAATTCATTGTGCAGTTCCCGGGTTCAGTGTTGAAGTCCTCATGTGGCCCTTGAGGTACAAAAAGTTAGACCGTCCTGTAATAGGATATACTATTGTCATTAATATTATGCAAATACTTCGAGAAAGGCACTGCATATCCATGTAGTTATCCATTTGTTCATTATGCCTAAAAGTCACTTGTTCAAAACCAGAAAATTTCATTACATCCTCCACCCATTTTTAAATAGGCAATTGTTTATCTTTCCAATATTGCAGTATTAGTCTTTTAGCTTTCAAAAGGGTACGGGAAATCCATTTACATTGGCCTTGTGTTTGATTCCAAGAGACAGGTAGGTAATTCAAAAAAACATGCATATCATTAAATATTAAAGAACTGTCTATCACAAGGTTTATCTGGATTATTACCTCCTCCCAAAAGGAACCTGCCATTTGGCATTGCCAAAACATATAAAGAAGACAAGCATTAGCAGCATTATACCTCCGACAATTGGCCTATTTCAGCAAACCCTTATTAAAGACACATTGTAGCATCAATATCCTTGAAAGATTAATTTTTGCTAAGTGTAGCCTGAGATCTGTATTCCCTTGTGAGATGTAATAATGAAAAACTCCACTGTCTGGGCAGTGGGAGATGTTTCAGTTCATTATTCTGTTCCTGCTTGAGACTTCAGGTGTCATATTGATTCACTGACATTAAATACTTATAAACATAAATGGTAGGCTGATGTATTTTTCCAGCTCCAATCAATACCTCCAATAACACAAGCAATTCTGAAGCTGTAAAAGCAACGAGACGAAAGCTAGATTCTAACAAATGTAATGTATTGCCATGAGGTCATATCTGAGGGTTTATATTAGTCTGCAAAGCAGGGGATGGCAAAAAAATTATCATCAGGACTGGCAAGCTGATCCAAAGAAAAAAATCAGCATATCTGCCCAGGTCTGCCAAACTTTCTCGCCAATGCCCAAATCTGAATTTCCCCTTAAGGTTAATTTTGCATGTGAAAATATGTTAAGTGCAATTGATATGAAAGCATATGCCTGTTGCTCTCTGGCCACCACAACTGAATGAGGGACATTATCTATGGTGACAGCCCAAGCAATCCACTTGTGCAAAGGCTCCAAGATGAAGATTTCAAAACAGATCAGAGAGAGGAATCTAAAGGGAAAACACCAAAATCTAGTACAAGTCAACAAATAGGCCCCATGATATAAAGGAAACTCAGGCCAAACCCACCCTCTTTGATCTAAAGTTACTTCCTTTTCAAGGATATTCCGAGTGGCACCCCATAATAATTTGCAAAACAGACAAACTTCTGAAAATACTTGCAAGATATAAAGGAATGCCACATATAACACAAACAATTCTAGGTATTACATTCATTTTAAGTGTATTTACCTTACTCCATAAACTGAACTTTATAGATGCTTTCCAGTCAATGTCCCTTGAGATCTCATTAACCAACTTATACAAATTTAACTTAATCATTTGTGACATGCCTCTTGGGACAAGAATTTGCAGTAATAAATTCAGCATAACAATCTGATGTGCCAACTGGATAACACAGTATGGGGTGTATTCCTTCCAAGTTCTGGCTTTGACCAGTAAACAGAATAATGATTTTGGACACGTATCTGGTTAGTCACCTGCATCAAGGCCAGAATTGATGTCAAGAGTTCCAAAATAAGCAGTTGAAGATCATCAGCACACAGAATAAATTTATATTCTAACACGTTATGCACAAATCTACAGATATTAGAGTTTTGTCTGACAGCACATGCCAGCACTTTCAAACATAAATTGAATACCAATAGGGAAAGATGACATCCCTTCTAGTATCTCTGTCAAGTAGAAAAAAATCAAGCCAGAGGAACAGTTCAACCACCCGCTTTTTTTCCCTCAGGCATCTTTACTGGCACCAGAGCATGCATGGGCTCCCTGGGAAATTCCTTCCTTTCCCAGTAAAACAAATTAGCCCTGAGTGTACTCTACCAGCTGATTCGTCTTTGTCCTCAGAAAGCCTCAAATATTTTGTTCACCAAGTAAGACCAAACTTTGAAATCCCCGTACTAAAGAAAACAGCACTTTCCCACTTTAAAAGCAAATGCCATCTCTTCTCAGGAAGGAACCAGGAAGCACAGTGTTAAGTCTCTGCTTGACATTTCAGCAAGTAGATGGAAGAACACTTCCCAAACCAACCTTCTGCTGCTTGTTAGTACAGCCTTTTCTCCGGCTGGGGCTGCCCAGATGTGTTGGGTGGCAACTCTCTTAATCCCCAGCCAATGTGACTGGTGGCAAATATGCTGCAACACTAAAAAGCTTAAGCAGTCTCTGGGGTTCCCAGAGGCAAAAGATCCGGGGGGCCAGGCTGAGTCCTTCTGGGCAATGCTCAGGAGCAGTCATGGTGCAGATGCCCCTACAAGTCAGGCAGACCAGACTATCCAGAAAAGCCTACTCTAACCTGATGCCCTTGGTCAAGTTGGACTACCACTCTCCTCATTTTCAGCCAGCATGGCTTCCAAGCCCTACATCAGGCACTCAGTTCATGTCAAGCAGACACAAAGGGTTACCAAGTTAGAACTGGCACTATTTGGCCTTCACTGTACGTAACTGCGATCACTACTTAAGATGAATACTTTCAGTACAGCTGAAGATCAGAATACAATTGCTTAAAAGGCTCCATCTGTTAATTCAGCCATCTGGAAGTCTCTGCAAGAATCAGAACTAACAGCTGAGCAAATTTAGCATACTGCAAGTCTAGGCACCCAGCTTGTAATGCACATCTCAAGCTGCCAAAAAAAGGAGCAATAAGCACCAGAGTAAAGTTAATGCTGCCTGAACCTTGAAACAAGGAGGCCCTTTTGCAGGGGTGCACAACCTTTTCAGCCTCAAGGCCATCATGTGATGCTGGGCTGAGGGCTGCATGTATGCATGCAAACACCCCTCCTCCACAGGCAGCCCCAGTACAGAGAGCTTTTTCCTTGCTGCTAACAATTGCTAGGAAGGATCCATGTGTAGATGGGGAAGGGTGCAGCCAGTGGGGAAGCAGCTGGTGGTGGTGGTCACAGCACTCTTGAGGGGCTGCAGGCTGTGCACCTTTGCCACAGAGAAAGCCCATGTACAAGGTCGTACTCACCATCTAGACAAGGATTATCATCATATATTGGCTTCACAGCACCGCTGAAGTAGAGTTCAACATTCCTTTCTATGAGACCAGTATCAAACGGGCATAGGTGACCTTTCCGATCGTAAACACTGTACAGAGAAGGGAAAAACTGCAGAGTTACAGATCAATGGCTTCCTTGCCCTGTATTACAGCCAGATCCATAACACCAGTGTGCCTTTAAGCTACACAGAACTGTCGACACACTGCAAGTTAACACATGGATGTTTTCCCTCCCAGGCTCGTAATACCACTATACTGTCATCCAACAAAAAACAGATTTGGAGTGGAGATTCAAGACATAACTCACTGCTGTGGTTTTCTGCCACATGATGTGTATCAAAGAGAGGCAGCAGATGGCTCCCAGGGTTCTGACACTGATGACTGCCTCCAGTCAAACTAGACTTTACAGTAAGGACGAGAAACGTCCAGCCTGCAGAGATTCCACATGCAGCCTGCAGAGGCGCCTGATGTTCTACAGCCAGCTCCCCAACAGACTCTGACTGGTCAAGTTTCAATGGCCTCCAAGACTTCCCAGTGATTGAATCCCCCAGTGGAGATGCAGGCAGGTGGGAAGGGACTCACCCAGCACCAGGAGGAGGAGCTGCTCCCCCTGGTGCTGGCCAGTTCTGACCTCTCTGTGCTGGAAGAGGCACAGAACTCAGTGCCTGTCCCAGCATGAAGTGATGCAGGACAGCTGGGCTGATGACACAGTGGCTGTACCCACATCCGCGCAAGTCACCTGGCCGACTGAGATGATTCATGGACGATCTACCCACCACCCTGTACCTTGCTCTACAGTGAATAAGCACCAGGCCTCACCTGAAGGAGGTTACTTTGTGTTGGGGCAGGTCCTCATAACTTTCAAACCCATCTTCATTGGCATCAAAAATGGACAACCGTTCATCGGTCAGCATCTCTGGTTCATCCAGCTGAGAAGATACAAGGTTCTGCATTTACTCTGGAGGCACTCCAGCAAGGCAGCATCCTTGTCTTTCAGCTGCAAAATGTGCACTGACTTACTGCATCATCAGGATCTCCTTGGAAGAACTTGAGATCAGGGTCATCTAGGTATTGCCTGCACTCGACACACTTGGGAGGGGTGGTCTGGCAAGAAAAGGTGCAACAGGACTATATCAGCTCATGTCATTTGTCTTCAAGGAAGGATTGCTTCTGAAATGTCAGGCCAACTAGGAAACCGGCAGCTAAAATACTTCTGCTTGCACACGACTGGTAATACCAGTATTTACAAGTGTGGAGCAGATCCTATGTAAGCTAGCCCTCCGGATGTGCTAGACTACAACTCACATGGCCATTAGTTGTCTGGGGGAAAACAGGAGTTGTAGTCAAACACATCCCACGTCGTCAGCTTACAGAAGGCTCTGCAAAGCTACAGAGCAGGAGGAATATTGTGCTTTTTCAGTAGTTGCTGCCCTTTGATGCAGAAAGAGGCTTAAAAACCCTTATTCCAGAGCAACATGACCAACTGTAATTTTCTTTTCTTTTCTGTTATTATAAATTTCAACAAAACAAAACATTTTAATTGAATTGAAGCCTCAAATGCCCACTGTTTAGGTGAGTCTTTCAAAGACTTGCCAATTCTAAGACCTGGATGGAGCTAGTAATTTTTTGCTAGGGAAGAGGGACAGGACAAAAAACCACCAAGTACCACAGTGCCATAAGGTTTTTTTTTTTAAAGAATGGAAGAACAGCAACAGCCTTCTTAGAAAAGGTTTCCCAAAAAGCATAAAACCAGGCCTTCATTCAGTGGGTGAATTCAGATCTCCAGAAGCCAAATTGGCAGCCACCTGACTCTGTGGCATAAGGAGTTGCATTATTTCACGACATAATAACCTGTCCTTCAACAAAAAAAGAAAAAAGTTTCAGGGCAGCTTTGAAAAGTTGCAAACAAAAATAATTTTAAATAGCCACATGAATAAGCAGAAACATGGGTTGTTGTTCATACGGTTGTTTCCTCCTCTATCACTTCTTTACATTTCTAAGAAGCTTTCTATGAAGGCCTGATGCTAGGGAGGACCATGTTCCATGTGGTTATAAGGTCCTCTGGGACAAGTTTTGGAGGCTGCTACCATGTACTTTCTATGAATCACGGAAATCTAGCCAGAAATCTGACAGCTTTTGCAAAAGTGGCATTTGTAGTAACTGGCAGAACTAGGTAATTAAAACACATTTGACAGCTAAAACTGTCCTGCAATATGGCTTCCTATTTGAGAGGGAAAGGAACAACTGCACCAATCCAGTTCTTAAGCTCTAGTTCACTTTAGTAATCAGAACTGATAAAGTACTTTCAGTACAAAATTAATTATGGCATAATGTTACTTACATTCAGAAAGAAAAAAATCCTACAACTCCCAGCATTCCCTAGCTAGCCATGCTCACTTTGTGAAAGCTGTGAAGTGTCCTTTCTAGTTGTGGAATGCTAAAAATTGCAGTCTTTTTCCTGTAAGGCCCAAACGTCTACAGGATTGTGCCCTTAGCCATCTTTCTTATTCATGACCCTGCAATAATGCTGCTTTCAAAGACTGGAAACAAAGACCAAGTGATGGCAATTATGGGCAAAACCACCAAGGAATATTTGAGCTCAATTTCCTCTAACGTAAAAACTCTGCCCTAACGTTTGTTCTGCATTTTGGATGCATCTGTGTTTCGGAAGTCAGAGAACCGTCTTTTCCATAACTGATGGTACTTCAGATAATTTGGGGACGGGGCTGCCCAGAAACACTCACAACATAGCATAATCAGCTATTTTTTAAAAAATGCAAATTCCTACTTACTTTAGCAAGTGGCACAGTTTTAACCTGGGTTGCATCATCTTTGATCTCCAACCTGGGTAAAAGCAAAAACAAACATACACCCACACGCAATAAGTCAAACTGAGCAATAGTAACTATCACAAGAATGGTATTCTGAAAAAACAAGTACTCAAATTCTATTACCCAACAGCAACACTGTATTCTGATTTTTTGGGATTTCCTCCTCTTTTTTTCTTGGCATGTGCTTCTTAAGGGAACCAAGGTTCAACTTGGATTCCAGGAAGCACTTCCTCACAGTTAGGACCCTGAGGGTGTGGAATGGGCTTCCACGGGAGCTGGTTGAGGCCCCATTGGTGTGGGTGTCCAAGGATAGGCTAGACATGCACATGGTGGGCATATCGTGAGCAGAGCCGGCTGGAGCCGGGGGTCAGACTGGATGGCCCGGGAGGCCCCTTCTGACTCGCTCTGTTTCTATGTTTCTCATCCATACAGTAAGCCTTTTTGGGGCTCCTGTAAACAAGAGGCAGCATACAAAACTTCAAAACAAATACACATGCCCAGGTACAACAAATAAACTGAATTTTCTGGCAATTTTATATCCTGCACTATAGTTTTCACAAATGGGGCAGAGACTAAGAGGGTAATGTACTACCCTGTTATGCTGTTGTGTTTTAAATATGGTCTAAGGGATAAAAAGGTACTGGGGAACATAACAGTTGATGCATACTACTAAATCTATACTCAAGGTAAACACACCTTAAAACAGGGTAGGAAGAAAGTAAATCTTCAGATGTTTTTGACTTCAACTCCCAGGCATGTTGACAAAGCATCTGGATCCCTACTTTCTTCCAAACCCTGCCTTAGAAGGGAGGGCTTTCTATCACACCCATGGCCTTTTCAGACCTAGCGAGGCTACAATCTTCTCCAGGAGGTGAGATCACACATTCCCTGCTCTTCCATATGCAAATTCCCCTCTCCTTCTCAGAGCTATTTTGGTACAGTGTAGCTGAAACCAACCTAGGTGCACTTTTCCTCAGACAAGACAAAGGTTTGTGCCCCCCAGCCCTCCCTGCTTTTGAGACAGGGGGGAAAAGGAACATGCTACTGCCAAAGCACTGTGAAGATCAGGACTTGCTCCACTGTTTTCTAAGCAGCTGCCACTGTCATTGCTCTTACTGAGGGACAGCATGGGGCAGGAACAGGCAAGGCACTGCGGTGCCCCCCCAATGTTTTGAACTGTAGCTCCAGTAAAATGGGGGGGGGGATCATGTCAGTCACTCAGGGTTCCTTGAAAGAAGGAAAAAACCCCAATATAATTATCACAAATATATAAATTTCCATCAGCCCCAGCCAACGTTCAAGATTATGAGAGTTATAGTTCAAAACATCAGGAGAATGCCAAAGTTCTTTTTACCTATGGCTTTACAAAACAGCCAGGAAATCTGACCTGCAATTAACAAAACAATCACTTGACTCCTGAGAGATATTAGCCTAAGTATTAGCAAAACTGCACGGGTAGGTGGCTATAGAGTTGCCAGGTTAAGAGAAGCTCCTGCACTTTTCACAGTGCTGTAAAAAAAGTAGCTTCAGCAGCCATAAGCCCTGTTCAGGTGTTCATGTAAACGTGGCAAACTAGTACGCACACATGTCTGTGTACACACATGCAACATACCCTGTGCTCCTGTACAATCACACATACATTCAGTTGCTTGTGTGCTGGGCAAAGCCAGCTGCTGCAATAACTGGGAATGCTTCAAGAAGCTGGGTACAATCCCAGTAAACCATGCCCAGTCACCACTAACATGTAATAGTTTCAGGAGCATTTATTGACTGTGTTAGCACTGTTGTGACTCTTCACAGAAGAGTTCTCTGAGTTTACTTTCTGTAAGAGTGAGAGTTCCAGCAAAAAGTGGAATTTATATGAGAATGTCCCATTTCACCTGCACAATTTATCTTCTTGAAGCTGGTGTGGGGAGGAATTGGAAGTAAAGAAGAGAAGAAAAAGCAAAGTCCCAAAACAGTGGGCCAAGCCAGTAAACTTAAACACATTTTCCTTTTGCTACTGCATGTATGCCATCATTCCGCCGCCCACCCCCACAACACCACTTCCCCAGCATTGCCACTCTTGACTCTTTGGTATTCTTCCTTCCAGTATGGTGGTGGAAAGTGTGAAGCCAACAAGGGAGCTGCGGCTTCTTCCTTTTTCTTGCCCTGCTCCTGCACAGATAATTATCTCAGATTCAGCCACTTTTCAGTCAGCTAATCAAGAGCACCTCAGGGCTACAATGCAATGTCTTGGAGCCAATGTATTGAAATCAACAGGGCTGGCATGTTAATAAAGAGCTTCAGCTGTTGGGCAGTATAAAATTAATTAACATGACTATTTTGGAATTTTCTCTGTGTCTCCTTTCTTTAGACAGAGGCTTCTGTTTTGGTGGACATTTGAAAATACTCAGTTGTATTGCTGCCTCAAGCCACACTAATAAATGATATTTTAGGGCTGCAATTTTGTACACCACTGTTTAGGAGTAAAACTCAATGGGATTTACTTCTTCGTAAATATACACAGCTTGCCCAAGAGTTTCTACCGCACTAGCTGTTAAGTGTCATGGTAAATTACTGTTGATCCTTCTCTAGCACAAAAAGTGGCTAGTGGGGTCCCTCCACGCTCAAAACAGAAGGGAGAGCTCAGCTGGGTTCTCCTTTCCAGTGCAACAATGGCGGGAAGCAAGGTTTCCTAAACATTCCTATCTCTACAGAAGACAAAGCAAACTTAAAAAACAGAAAGGTAGGCAAGAAAGCAGACAATGGCTGCACTGCACAATGAAGTCTATGATCGGGAGTTTTGAATGCTGGCACCAAAATGTCATGCCTTGCTCAATGCAGACCAAAGGTCCCAAGAGCATTCACCATGCAAAGGAGACATTGTGCAACCCCGAAATTGCCTTATGGAGAATAAAAGTTCCAAATGTCAAGCTTCAGGGCAAATGTGTGCAAGTGAATGTCTGTGTGTGTTGCCACACATGTTAATACTGGCTGAAGAGAGCTATTATTTGCATGACAAGCTACATCTGCTGAAGTTCCTTCTCTTACACAACTATTAAAGGTACAGAAACCCTACCAGCTTTGGCATCTCCTCATCCTAGATGGCTGCTGTATTCTGTGGCAGACCTATCACTAATGCTTAGTCCGACCTCACATATGCTCCTGAAAATAAGAGGAAAACACTCTTTATACAAGTTTGTGTTTTTATGAGTTCCTTTAAATGGCTACATTCCTTGTTAAAAATGCAGAAAGAAGAAAGCTGATCAGATCATGACTGCCCCACTGACAGCACTTACCCTTCTTTGGTTTCTATTTTGATTCTTTTCTCATCTTGTTCCTTAAGAGGGAAGCAGAAGACAAACAGCCCACTTAAAAATAAACTGCAAGCTTGATTCTAGCAGCTACAATGTACACATCATCTACAGTCAATAAATTCCCTTGTCCCCTGGAGCAATATTAAATCCAAATGCAATTTGCGCCACCCAGAATAATTCTGAGTTTTATGCATACATTTCAAGCACTTTGCAGATAAAAAATCTATATGGTTACAAAGGATTTCATAAATCTCAAGAGAAGTCCCTTCTGTTCTGAGGCACTGCTCTGCCAATATATATTTCAAATGCAATTGCTGTTCTGTGGGCATCTGCTAATGAAAAGAGGCAGCACTGGCTGTGTTATGACACAATTCCAGCTGCACATGCCCATGCGCAGAGTTGCGACTGCTGGAAGAGGAGCATGAAAGGACATGGGTGCTTTGGTATTTGCATTTATAGTGTAAGCACATGCCATAAGCCACGACAGAGTGCTGTGAATGTGGGAGAAACGGAAATCTGTGCTGCTGTTTCACATTTCTTCTTTTTAACCCCAAAGCAAGGCAGGCCTGCACCGCTGTGTAGGAATGCAGTTTTCAAAATGCATTTTGGATGGTTATTCACAACTACACAGTTGTATAGGTGCACTTTGAAAAATAGCTGCTCCTACCCCAAATTATAATGGCTAACCAACCACCCTGGCTATGGAAAGAGAGGCTCAAGATGCAGGACAGAAATCCAATAAATACATACATAAATAAAGGACAATTTATGGACTTCCTCCCTACAAGGTGAAGGTGAGGAAAAATGTCACAGAACAGGTTCTACAGCTCAGAAGCTACTCCCACTGGTAAGTGTAATAATCCCACTAGAATGGAACTCATATGGCTTGGTAGAGACTAGAAACTGCAATCAGTGAAGCAAACATCATAAAAGTGACATGGAAAACCAAACTACTGAGGCAGAAATAGTGTCTGGGCAACAAGCCAGAGAGTTCAGAGTGTGTCCCACAGGTGAGCCAGAGATCACAGTACCAAGATCAAATGCAAGTGAAGACTGGCCTAGGGATGCAAAGATCCAGCTGGAATTTGGCTCTCTTGTGCTTGCAGGACTTCCTTCCCTGCCTGCAATGAATGCAAGCTGCTTCTTTGGACAAACTACACAAAGCTCACGAATCAAGTGCGTGGAAGCAGAACTCCACTCGAACAATGGTATGCAGGGGGCATATGAGCAAACCGCCCTCACTGACTCGCTTAGACTTGCTTCCTGCCGGAGGCCCATGCAAATACTTGGCCTGAGGCAGGTTTGGGTCAGAGGGAAAGTGGGTTCTGAGCAGTCGATTCAAGAAAATTCAATGGATGCCCACCGCCAAACTGGATTCCTCATGCATTATTAGACTGGCCCAGAATCTCACATGCATACCTTCTCTCCAAACTGCTCCTCCTCTTCCTCTTCCCTGTTTTCTGCATTATTTTCTTGTTTCAGCTCTCCATTAACTTCCTCTGATTTGCGTTTATTGGACCTATTGCAATAAAGCATAAACTGGACTAGATACAGAAAGCCACAACTTATTTGCTATACTTATTAATGAAAGCAGGAAAAACTAAATGTGTTTTAATTTTGCAACGCATACTCTTGTTAAGCAGGATGTACTGGGCAGCTGTGAATATCTGGATAGTCTATTTGAGCTTTTGGGATATCCTTTTTTGGGGGCTGGGCAGGGTAAAGGATTTTTACTCTCAAGACCAGGTCAAAGTCCAAGTCTAATTGGAGGACTTACAAGTGAAATTGCAAGACCCAAAGAATGGCTTTGAACTAGGCCTTTGTCTGGAAGCAGATGAAATGCCATTGAGGGCTCCCCCACAAGCTCTCTGCCCTGACCTTGCCAGAAGTAGAAGAGATCACTCAGGGGCTTGGATCTGTCTCTTTCCTTCGCACCAGGAACTGCACACACTCCTATTCTACTCAGAGCAGCACGCACATCCCTCCGAGTCCTCCGCCCCCACCCCCACACCTTTTATCCTCTCAACAACTCTGCAAGGTAGATTAGGCTGAGAAGGCAGGGAGTCAGCTCATTTATTTTTTGGGGGGGAGGGGGTGCGGAGTTCCTGCCAAAAACCGTTAAAGCTACGAAATCTTGCCAGCGACAGGCACTGAGCAGGCACAGCACCCATATATGTGTGATGCACAGAGACCACGACGAAGAAGCCCAAGTTCAGCCATGATGGGCTAAGTTTATATTACATGCAAATATACACAGAACCCCACAGGGCCATGCTGGGGAAGCAGCCAAGAGAGAGCTACAGCAGAGAAACCACAGGCAGGGAAAAGATTACATAGCAACCTCATCCCCCAAAGTCTGCACTTGGCATTCCTTCTCCCCAAAGCAGCTTCTTTTTTAGAACAAAAGCTGTCCAGGCTGCATTACACATCCTTGCATGGAGCACAGAGCTTGTCCTGAAGCATCATGACTAAGTGAAGATGTGAAAAAGGTTCTCCTTGTTAAGTCCAACACACCATCAATCAAGGCCTATTTTCAGCCATTACTGTCCCAGGACTCCTTCACAGAGTACTCAGTTAAACAGTGGAATTCACTACCAGAAATATAGTGATTGCCATCAAGTGCTATGGTGGATTAGACACACTTTTAAATATTAGATTAATACCCTGCCTTTTTTTCTTACAGAGAAATCAAAGCAGCTTATTCTCTTCCTGCTTTCAATCTTATCCCACAACAACAACCCTGTGAGGCAGGTCACCCAGATGGCTCCATGGCTGAGCGGGGACTCAGATTGCCTGAGTCCCAGATCTGTGTTCTTAACTACTATACCACACTGTCTATATTAAGTTTTCATTTAAGCTGTTACATTATATTTGTACCCTGCATTTCCTGCAAGGAGTCCAAGATGATGTGCATAGTTCCCTCCTGCTTTCCCTGTTTTATTTTCACAACAACCCTGTAAGGTAGGTTAGCCTGAGAGTCAGTGACTGGGCTAAAGCCACCCAGTGAGCCTCACTGCCAGGTGGGGACTAGAATGCAGGTCTCTGAAATCCCTGTCCCTAACCCTAACCACCGTGCCACACTGACTCTCAAGTTCGGGAAGAATTCATTTGGAGAAACAATGGTTTTAATCCTGGTATCTAGATTATCTCCAGTATTGGGGCACATAGATGATGTGCAAATAACCAGTGTAAACAACAAAAACATAATATCAGCAGAAGTCCAAATCAAAATGTGAAACAAAATCAGAAACAAAATCAAAATTAAAAACAAAAAGCGACTGTGGAAGTTAAAACCAATTAAAATATCTAATTCTTAAAATGATGGGTAAATAGAAAGGTTTCCACCTGGTGCCGGAAGGAATATTAAAGCAAACCTCTCCTGGGAGCGCATTCCAGAATCTGGGTGCCACGGCAGAGAAGGCCTCCTCTGCGTAGAGACCTTCTTTACCTCCTTCAGGGAGGATTCCTGGAGCAGGGCCTCCAGTGCAGATCTTAGGAGGCACAAGGGCATATAGGAAAGGAGGCATTCCTTCAGGAATCCTGGTCCCAAGCCATTCAGGTATCTTTGTATACCAGTTGCTGGGGAACTCAGGCAGGAGTTGTTTGTGAGCTTCCCACAGGCAGTTAGTTGGCCCCCATGTGAACACAATGCTGGACTAGATAGGCCTTTGGACTGGTCTAGCAGGGCTCTTGCATTCAGGCTGGGAAAGGGCAGAGGGCACTGATGCGAAAAGCTTCAGCTGAGAAGCAGAACTCCTGTGAGAGCTCCCTTTGCCACCACTTCTCTCCCTGGGACTGCCTGTCCCTCCTCTGAACACCATAGGCAACCCACACCCCACCCACCACCTGTCTACTCTTCAACTTATCCCTTATATAACCAGTTATGAGACAATCAGCCAATCAATATGAAGCCAAAGAGGCACAAAATGCAGAAAATCAAAAGCCACAGACACCAAGCTTACAGGCAACCTACTCACCCTTTGGAAAACATCGCCACAATGGTGGGCTGCCTGCCGGAACTACGGGTGATCCTTGAGCTGCTTGGGGTTTCTGCAGATTAATCAGGAGTGGGGGTGCGGGGGGGAAGAAACAATAGGTGCTGTTGCCAGGGATGAATTGTTGCTGCAGTTTCCCAAATGCTTAAAAGCAGAGGATGCTCTTCCCTAACTAGTCTCCAATCCCATCCCTCAACAGGGCTGTTTTCCATCACTGACTGTATTATCTTCATTTCCAAGCGGCTTGAGGACCAGGTTTCCTTGCATGCACATGCAGAGTTTGCTATCCCTGACTACAGCAGCCTCCTGCAACCTGGTGCCCTCCAGAGGTGTGAGAGCAGTGGGGTCGAAATATTCATCAAGACCTGAGTCTTGGCTATTCTCTCCTGCCTGGCAGAATGGCAGGAGTGAAGGGGGTAGACAACAACACACCAGCAAGGACAGGATTTCCTTATCTTACTGGTACTACTCTCAGTAAGAGCTCTCTCTGCTTTTGTGTCTGTGTTTCAAATAATTTTGCACCCCAGTGAAAATCAATATCCACAAAACTACACAGAAAGTGTTTTAGCACTGCTGTTTTCATATCACACTGAGCCAAAGGGAAGAAAGAAAACAATGACAGAACACTTGCATTCCCAGGCAATTTTTTGTGAGCAATTGCAGATGAGCTATAATAATAAGGATAGCTCAATTTTAGAAAAGAAATTAAAAACCCAGGAAGCTTATCCATTTTCTTTAACACCTCCCCCTCAAAATGCCCAAACAACATAATTTGAAGCTCACAAAGACAGACAATGATATATTTGTGGATAAACAGAGAGTAAGCCAATTCACAAACATGTGCCATGAAAAGGTGGCCTACTCAGTCCAAGCTGAATATCAGTAAGAATCCACAAAACTTTGCTAAGAAAAAGTCTGCAGACTCTCTATTCCAGTTTAGCAACTAAATTCACAGACACTGCTATACAACAATCACATACATATTTATATCAGCTGTTTGAGATCCACAGCTCCAACTTCCAGGAAGTTTCAGCTTCTGTTCCTGGAGGCAATTTTAAGATGCTGCCCATTTAAAGAGAGGGTGTCACCCCCTGCCCCAAGGGCTTCATCTGGCCTGCCAGATGTTCAAATCAAGCCCAGGGTGTTATCTCCATGCGCTGCCACCTCCTGAGAGGAATCCCAGATGGCCTTTTTATTGTGGATGACATCCGGGACTTCCCTACACATGCCATCCCCATGGCATACCAAGTGGCCCGTGAAGTGTCCAGTTTATTTGGTGCTGTGCACTGCCCCTGTGGGGAGAAAAAGTTGCTTCCCAACTCAGCTAGTGCACCAAAGAACTGTTCCTCTATGTGCTAGGCAACTCCTTTGGCCTCACCTGCTCTAAATTTTACCCAATGGAACATAGTGTGGGGCAAGCAAAAGGGCCCCAGTTGAGACACTGGGTAGCCAGGAGGGGTTTGGGGCATGTGGGTTTTATCAGGCCAGGGAAAGCACACACACCCAAGCTGGGTGGACAGGGGACTGCATCATCCCACCTGGACTTTCCTCACCTAAGGACAACCCAGGCAGGGCAAATCTGAACCAGCTGAAGTGAACCCAGCAGATCTTCCCTGATGGGTGGCTTTGCCTGGGGCAGCTTCTCTGCAGACGGGCCTCCCCTGCCTGGGAAAATTCCTGCACATTAAAGCCAGGCCCTTGGAGCAGCTTACACCAGTATTTCTAACAGAGGACCGCATGCCATGGGGGTGAAGCTCCACCCTCTGTTGCCATCTGACTTGCAAAAGCATGGATGGGAGTCAGCTGCCCCCAGGTACCAACTTCTGAGGCCCCTGGTTCAAGGTGCACGCCCAGAGTCAAAGCAATGGAGCCTCCCACGTGCCTTGTAAGCAGCTCCCAAATCACTTCTTACTTCTGTTCTCACTGTTGGACTTGCTCTTTCTGCCCCTACGGGCTTTTGGCACTGATGGTGAGGCCAACAGCGTCGAAGACACTGAGGTGGACTCTTCGATCTCCATGGAACTGTCCTCTTCCTCCCTGCCACCTGCTCTCTCAGATTCTTCATCACTGCCATAGGTGCCATTCTCTGTGCAGCCATTGGTTTTCTGGGTGAGCTCCAGGTTATCTCCATTTTCCAAAGAGAGTTCTTCATGGAGCAGGGCTTTGACTTTGGCCAAGTACCGTTCCTGCAGCAGGAAGCAAAGGTCAACAAACAGGTTGAGCATGTATACTTTCAGCCTGCTAATGGAGATTTGGCACTGGGGGTGGGCAGGCAGCATTCAAACAGATTTTATTTATTTAGACAACTTATATGCCGCCCCATCGCATGAGCGATGTCAGTGGATCACAGTTGTTGGGATCCAGCTCCTGCCTATCATCCAATAGGCTCCAGATTATCATCCAATAGGCTCATTTGGGTGAGCTTGCACATTTAAGCTCTGCCATTTTCAGCTCTCCAATTATGAATATGCAGAGTTTTACATAACAAGGAATAGGGGCATCTATTTTTCCTGATTGCCACTAACAATCCAAGCCCGATTTGATTTAAGCTCTGAGTACACAAGTGCTATATGCCACGTGTGAGACTCAGATTCACACCAATCACCACCCCACATAGGACAGAGTAACAGATGCCTGCATTCATACCAGATGGCAACTACATTATAGACAAAATTTACTATTCAGAATGTTGAGTCTTAGCAGTTCTTCCCAATAAGGAGACAAGAGGGAATGTTGTGAAAAAAGCTGGGGGAACATATTGAGTGTCCTCAATCCCTGTTCTTGCATCAAAATTCTTCCATTTTTCATTTCCACATCTTGTTGAAACCTCATATATGCAGTTTCCTACAGGTCCTTAGTTCAAGTATTTTTTTCTTACAGGCTGCTGGTACACACCAGAGATCTGAACCAATTATGAAATCACGCTGCAGAAGACAGCATCTGGACCCATTTCAGTCCGGCTTCAGACCCGGGTACGGTACTGAATCTGCCTTGGTCACCCTGTACGATGACCTGTGCAGGGAGAAGGACAGGGGGAGTGCGTCCCTGTTGGTTCTCCTGGACCTCTCAGCGGCTTTCGATACCATCGACCATGGTATCCTTCTGGATAGGCTGGTGGGATTGGGAGTAGGAAGCACTGCTTGGCAGTGGTTCCACTCCTACCTCGACAGCCGATTCTAGAAGGTGGTGCTGGGGGAATTTACCTCTGCGCCATGGCAGTTATGCCATGGAGTTCCACAGGGGTCCATTCTTTCCCCCTTGCTATTTAACATCTACATGAAACCGCTGGGAGAGGTCATCAGGAGGTTTGGGCTGCGGAATCATCAGTATGCTGATGATACCCAGCTCTACCTCTCATTTTCCACCAATCCAGGTGAGGCAGTGGCTGTGCTGAACCGGTGCCTGGCCGAGGTAATGGGCTGGATGAGGGCCAATAAACTGAAGCTCAATCCAGACAAGACAGAGGTCCTGTTGGTGGGTGGTTCGAGCTCCTGGGTAGGTGACTTGGACTTTGTTCTGAATGGGGTTGCACTCCCTCTGAGAGACAGGGTTCGCAGCTTGGGAGTGCTCCTTGACCCTGAGCTGTCACTGGAAGCTCAGTTGACAGTGGTGGCGAGAAGCGCCTTCCTTCAGCTTTGGCTGATCCATCAGCTGCGTCCCTTCCTGGAGAACGACTGCCTGGTGACTGTGACACATGCGTTGGTAACTTCCCGATTAGACTTCTGTAATGCACTCTACGTGGGGCTACCCTTGATGACGGTCCGGATACTTCAATTGGTGCAAAATAGAGCTGCCAGGTTGCTGACGGGGACTGGGCATTGTTCTCAAATAACCCCAGTTCTCCGTCAGCTTCACTGGCTTCCTATTGAAGTCCGGGTCCAATTCAAAGTGTTGGTTATGACCTATAAAACCTTAAGTGCTTGGGACCTGGTTACCTAAAGGAACGTCTGCGTCCATATATGCCCTCCCAACCCCTACAATCAGCAGTGGATGCCCTTCTCTGGGCACCCTCTGTGAAAGAGATTAGGAGGGTGAGTACCCGAAGGAGGGTCTTCTCTGTGGTGGCGCCCCACCTATGGAATGTGCTCCCTGGAGAGGTCCGCCTGGCGCCGTCATTATTTGCTTTTCGGCGCCAGGCGAAGACCTTTTTATTTAAAAGTTATTTTAACTGTTAATTTATTATTATTGTATTTATAGATTTTAATATATATAGCTGAGATGGTACCAGTTTTTAAATTATTAATTGTAGTTTTTATGAATGTTGTGAGCTGCCCTGAGGCTTTGTTGCAATGGGGCAGCACAGAAATGTTTTAAATAAATAAAATAAATAAGATGGCATCAAAATACCCTTTTGCAACATGATTTGACCAAATGCATGTAAGTGGTAACTTGCACAGCAAGGTACTGAAAATTGTGGCAAACTGTACAAGCATTCATTTAAAAATTAATTTTAGAAATTCTCCAAGTAACACTGAAAAGACAGGCAGAGCGAACACTCAGAACATCAAGAAAGAAACAGTAGGAATCTGTTAATCTCTAGTAATTACCCACCTCAGAAAGCTCCTCTTTGCAAAACTTGGACTCCAGGTCTTTCAGCTGATTCTGAACATCTGCTTGTAAGAAGCCATGGATTAGACTCAGCTTCTCCTTAACACACTCCTGGGGGGAAAGAAAGAGAATAATACAGCTGGCAACCCAGACCTGCACAAGCTTCTTGGGGAATAACTAAAGAGGCACAGTTCTCCATTAAGGGACAGGGGTGGAGAGAAAGAAAGACTAATAAACTTACTCTTTCACTAAGTCCATCTTCATCCCTCTCCAGGTCTTTTAGCCTGTTTTAAATCAAAACAAAACAGAAAAAATCCAACAACACTTCCTCAATAGAAAGCATCCTCTTCTTTTCCCCCAAGTTTCAGACAGACAGGTGAAATTTCTCTGTCTGGGTGGTCCCAGGATGGGAGAGAGAATCTAGATGCCCCTGGATAATCAAATGGCAGGAGTGGCCTATGGGTTGAACAACTGCAGCCTTTGCAGCCTCCAAGAACAGACCTCCCTTAACTGACACTACAACAGGCTAAAGTTGACCAAGGGGATCCAGCATGTTTTGAAATGTAGAAACTCAAAAGTTGCTCCCTCCGTTTAATCAAGGGAGAACTTGCATCCAAATAAAAAGAAACAGTCTCAGCTTTTCATTTGTTCATTGCTCTACATGCTGAGGAAGGAGGCAGGGAGGAGTACAGGAGGGAGCCCACAAGCCTAAAACCTGTCCTTGCTCTTTCCTCACCTTGCAGGTAGAATTACAGAAATAGAATAGCAGCTGACGTGGCCTCCTGAAGCTGCAGCAACAAACCCACATGTATTCCCTTTGCTATGATGTACTGAAGAGGATGGGGTGCAGCCTCAAAGGTCAGTAACTTCAGTGAGAACATTCCCTGGCTGGAGGTAACAACTGTATCACATGCTAATGCACATAATTACTGCTGAGTTTGATTTTGTATCATGCTATGACAATGCCATCTTTGGGAGATGACATTTCAGGTGGGGAAGGGACAGAGAATCTGAATCGCTCTTTTTGGAAAATACAGTTGGATCAAGCACTTGCCCTGATCATAATCAAAGTATCAATGACTGGCCATTATTGATGAATAGCCAGTTGTCCTCCACCCATTGACAAACATGTAGCAGGTGTTCTTTCTACCCAATGTTGTTATTAAGAATCTGAAGAGTCACTCATCAGGGATGCCCAAGGTATACAAAGTTTTGCTTCGTTTCTCTTTCAGGCCCTGCAACCCTCCAGGCTCCAGCCCATGTGCCTTGGATACCTCTTTGGTCTGCAGTTTCCTTTTTTGAAAGCGTGGAAGAACCAGCAGAGGGAAGCAGCTATGCCTGCTTTTGCTCAAGCTGCCTGGGAGAGAAAGAGAGTTGCTTCTGACTCCTTTAGTCCCCGTGCCTGTTAGGTCACAGCTGGGAATGGTCCCCCAGCAACAAGTTAAGACACAGAAATAAGTAGAAAAGTTTGTCAGCTAAGTTTGATCATCCAAGACCAGGAAAGGGAAAGAGACAGGCAAGAAGACCAGCATGCCTGCTGACTGGGAATGAAGAGAATTGTAGTTTAACATAAGTGGACAGCATCAGGTTGGAGAAAGACTTCAAATATTCACATGGATGGAATGAAAGTTAGGGCAAGCAAGCAAGCATGGATGGGAAACAAAAGTAGTGGGTAACAGTAGTGCATAGACCTAAATGCACACTTTGAAGATGGCTCTAGCTAGCAAAAATCATTTCTAACTGGGGAGTGTGGGTGCTTCATTTACCTTCCATTAAGAGTGGGTTGGGGGTGGCTGTAAAGCCAAACTTGCCTTTTTCAAGTAGAGGCTCACAACTGCAAAAGTTGGAAGGATCAGTTCAGTTGCCAAAGGCCAGCATAGTGCGGGGCAGAGAGACATCAAACCCTCTCCATCAAATCTTGCAAAGGGTTTCAATGCATTCTCATGAGTGGGCAACTACCAGAGCTATGCAATCAACATGTCTTCCTGTGACCAGCACCCTCCTGCAGTGCCAGCTGGTTTGCTACTGAACTTAAAAATCAAGGGTGCATGACAGGAGAGCTGTCCTGCACTTCTTAGTCTAGCTTGAATTGCAAGCATGGGGAACAGGAGTTCTTTTTCCACGGCCCCAAGCAACACTTCTGCAGGGCTGCCTGTGTAACCCATACCACTCTCATTGCTGCTGTTTTCTGTGCATGTTCAGGGACAGGCTGGTGTGCAGATCTAAAGGAACTCATGGGTAGACCATGAGCTATGGACTTACCTCCCACTCTGAAAAAAGAAAGAAAGGGAGACAAGCATTTCTGGCTAGAAGCTCTTACTGCAGGTTATCAAAAAAGAGAAGAATCTTTTCTATCAAGGCATGGCAACCACCATGGGCCCAGTTACACAAATGCAGCATTAGGCTCCCAAAAAGCACTTGAAAATCTTCTTTCCTGTCATGTCCGTTTCTACTATGCACACATGCATGTGTTCATGCAAGAATGCAACCAAGTTGGTGTTAGGAGAGTTGAGTAATTCTCTAACCATACTAAGGCCAAATGTTTCCTTTGGATGTGTACTAGGGAACCAACCCTCAACCAAAAAAGAAAGACTGACCAAGAATGAAGGAGAGAGAGGGAAAAAGACTCACTCTTCTGCTACTCCAAGACACACAGGCCAAGCAAATGAGGTACCATCTACTTGCACTTTGCATGCTTAATTCCTGGTCTGTTCTGGGACACCATGATGCAGAACGCTTCCACTACATGTGGGATCTCTCTCTATTTTTTTCTATCCATCTTTTTTTTTCTTTTTCTTTTTTTTGCCTTCCCGAAATCTAAGGAGGCTACCACCACCCATCATATGTATACACACTTCCTCAAGCCCTGTAGTTTACATTTCAGTTTTATGATTCTGGACGCAATCCTATACATGTAAGGCTTTTTTCTGTCTAAACTCCCAGCATGCTTCAGCCAGCTTTAGCAGAGTATAAGGCTAGAGATGGAAAAGCTTGGAAAACTAGAAAAAGTGGGGAAAGGGCCAGAAAACACCCAGAAGGGGAGGAGACTGCTTTCTCCACCCAGGGTTTTGTGAAAAGTTTGAAGGAAAACAGGTTTTCCAGGAAACCAACTTTTTCTGCTTTTCTCCCAGTCTCCCCATCTGCCACAAGCCTTCACATCTCTATGCAGCATAGACATTTCTTTTAAGCAAAATACCTTGTTATTAGCATAGCAATGCTTATTCTCCTTGGGATCTCTTTAAGGCTTCTAGTGAGAGCCTCACAATACCAGACTTGGGCTCCACGGAAGCTGCCAACTACGCAACAGGAAAGACTTGCCACTGTTTAGGTGTTTCACATGCACTATTCATTCTGCTTGCCAGTTTTTCACCAACTGGGAATAGGTCCCATCCATTCTGATTGAATCTTTTAGTCTTCCGTCTGGATCGCCTTTTAATTTACATTGTGTATATTAGTACTACTACTTGGCTGTTCAGCCTCACCTTGCAAGGACATCCTCAAACCTTAAGTCCACCAATTGGTCAGTTGGCGTTTGCAGTCAATCCCCTCCTCCAAAATATGTAAAAGTGCTGTCACTGAAGTGAATTTGTGACAATAACACCCATGGAAAACTCACGTTAGGGCATCTGGGGTGAACTGCTGGCAGACCATCTCTAACTCAGCTCCCAAAATAAATCCTCCATGAAAAGCAATTCACATACCTGGCAACTGGCTGCTCCCACTTCACAGAACCCAAATACCACATTCCTAACAAGCTTATTGCTCTATCAATTGTACAAGATGGGTAACTACTTTTGCTCCCTTTCTTCCCCTACCTTCCAAACAAAATTTACATTTTTAAGTGGCAGTCCCCCACTGGGCCATTGACCTTTCACATTAACTACTGAAGTTAACTTTGACTTGTCTTCTTAGCTAAATAATATTTTAACTTGGCAGTAAACTTCCATCTTGAGAAAGCAAAATAGCTAAACAAAAGATTCACTTTAAAGTGGAAGGAAGGACAACTATCCTCAGCCTGGCATCCTCCAAATATGTAAGAACACAACTCCTGAAAAGTGGCAGATAGGGGAAGGCTGCAATAGCATTTGGACTAAAACAGTACACATTTTAGTCTCTAGTAGTAGTTCCTCGGAGCAGTGCAACTGATGGCATTTCCCACCCTCCTAATAATAAGCAGCATGGGGCTAAGAGGTGCTTTTAAGGTATGAGAATGGTTTTGAGGAAGTTGCCGCTGGGTGGCTCTCGTCTTGCAACCACAAACTAGGCCTAAACACATGTGCAGCAACCATAAAGAGATGAAAGTTAAAAGAAGGTGAAGAGATTGTGTTCTCTCACACATTTGCAGCTAGACGGAATGAGATTCCACCACAAAGCCCATCCAAGATGAAGGTCAATGGCCTAAAAACAGGGAACGACTCCCCCACACTGTGGTAAAAAGTCTGGGAAAATCCATGAGCTGAAGTTGTGGAGCAGCCCAGGCTCTCATGAAGGAATGGTGAGCAAGTCCCTCCCAGACTGCAGACTCCGGACAATAGCAGTGGAGACGCTGCCTGCCTGCGCCGCTCTCAGAGGAAGCAGAAAGATGTAAACAGGACATACCATGTGGCCTATGCTACAGTGGCAGCATTCACAATGGCTCATGGCGGTAACTGTGGTGGAAGGCCAGCATTCATGCAATTTAGTGAGAAGCTTAAAAAAAAGAGAACACTTTCCTTCTTTCTCTCAACGGCTGTACAGCAGCCAGTTCATTTCAATAAGCACACCTTTCTGGACTCCATTTTGCCATTGGGCCTGAAGGACCATGTATTCTGGACACGAGAGCAGGAACACAGAAATAAGAAGACTAAAGAAGTGGGGGAAATAAAGCAGTGATTAGTGCCTCCAAGTTTAATTTTCTTTCTGAGGAAGAAAAGGAAAAGTTTGTTATTGTTGTCTTTTGTTTTCCAGTCACTGCGAAGGATTTACCTGCAATTGCAGAGAGTGGAGCAGAATCTCAAAAATATTAAGCTGGAGGGACAGTAAGAGCCATGATGTCACTTTAGCACACAGAAAAAGTTGGTGGAGGACAGGCTCTGCTGGGGTGAGCAGGCCAGGGGAGGGGGAGCGGGGGAGAGAGCAGTGCCTCACTTCACTCTCAACTGCCAACATGCTTCTGTGACAGAGGAGGGTTCTCTGTTCCAGAGGCGGCAACTAAGTCAGGGCATTCAAAGACAAAGACAATTTGTTCTGAACGGATAGAAGAAAGCGTACAGATCTGACCATTTGGAGTGACTGTCAGGAGAGAATGGCCCAGGAAAGAGGCCACAAAAACGCCTCCCAAGGGAAGGGACGGGCTCCATTGAAATGCAGCGCACTCCTGGAGGCGCCAGAAAGCAGAGAACCAACCAACCAACCAGCCCGCCCTGCAAGCTCGTGGTTGCCAGTGAACCCAACCCATGGAACACCCCGCTTATATATATGCAGAAGTCAGGACATGTTAACCATTGCTTCCTTAGCTGCATGTGCATTAAGCCCTGTCCTAAGCACACACAAACAAATGTTCCCGCCAAGCCGCGCTTTCAACTGGATAAGAAATTCGTTTTCACTTCCTGTCCCAGATGGCAAGCCGTGGCATAAGCAGAGAAAAACATCGGCTAGATGAGAGGAAAGGACAGCGTCCTAAAGATGCAGAAAGCATGATTTCTGAGACTTTATTAAACCTACACACATCCTTAATAAAAAGCGGGTTGGATGCAAAAGTAGGAAAATGGTGACTCTTCATTGCATCCTTCCTGCCTTTGATTTTTTTTTTTTTTTAGCAAGCAACTGCAATAATCTCACCTTACTTCTTTATTCCCCTTTTATTTCTAACCAAAATAAATCAATCCTGATGGGGGAGCTTCAGCCCTGTTCCAAAAGGGATGAAATCAGAGGAGCCTAAAACTTGATCTTTTCGTTGTTTGAATGATTTGGAGACTGCTGACAACTTTTGTTCCTTGACAGGCACGCAGGACCATGAGGAGAAAGCAGGGGGGAGGAAGATAGAGACAGTAAGCATAAAAGAGGGTCCCCCTCCCGCCTTAGAGAACAGTGTTCTGCCTTGGAGGAAAAGGCATTTCTATTTGAGAGAAATCCAAGCGCCATGGAACCCTGAGCCGTCCCAAACCTTCCCCCCAAGAAGTATACAGGCCCCCAATTAGGGGAGCAATGGAGTTGAAACCCACCAGAAAAACCTGCCCCCATCCCACAAGGGAATCAGTGCCCATAAGGAAGTACAGAGGACATTCCACTCTTAAAGGGAACCCACACAGGTAGGCACGAATCGCAATATTGGCTATAAAAATGAGATGGGGGAAGCTCCCCCCTCCCTTCTTGAGGTGCCTTCTTTCTCCCTGACCTCCGGGTCCCCTCCTTCACTCCCTGTTTGGGAACTTTGGTGGTGAGTGGGGTGCGGGCACTCAGCATCTTTGGCGAAGGTAGAATAATAATTTAAAAAAAACAACAACAACGGGAGGATAGGTTAGGAGAAAGAGGGCAGATTCATAATCCAGCGTGAAACGGGAGGACGGCGCTAAGGCACCCCTTTCTATTGCACCAGGTTCTAATCACAGGGATGCGAGAAGGGGGAGCCGCAGAATGAGAGAGAACCCCCCCCCATAGGAAGGGTGCAGGAGGGGAGGTCGACGTGCCCTCGAGCTAAAATCGGGGTGGGGGGAGGTCAGTACCCTTCTCTCTTCGCAGAATTAAGAGGGGCTAGCTCCTCCCTCTCCCGCCACCCTCCGTCCCCAGCTCAAAGCGGGGAACCCACTCACCGCCTGCGCAGCTCCTCTGGGGTCAGCGGGGTGGCCCGGGCGGGCATCGGGACCGCAAGACAGCAGGCAAGGAGGCGACGGGAGGCGATTTCGCGCGCACCGGGCAGGGAGGGGTGGGGAAGAGCAGGCAGGAGGCGGAGCAGGCTTCGGGACAGACCATCCGCGATTACAGAAGGGGGTTAGGAAAGGGTGGGACTTATCAAGATGCCATTTATGGAGAGGGAGAAACCAAATAGCCAATGGGGGGAGAGAAAGCAAGGGACGGAGGGGGGGAGAGAGGCTAAGCAGAGACCGGCGGGGGCGGGGGGCGCTAAGGCGGAGCCAGGCTAATTGGCTGTGTGCTTAAACACACAAACACACACACACACACAGGGAGGAACTATGATGCGCGCACAAACACATGTGTATATGTGTGTGCATGTATATATATCGAGACAGCGAGAGAATTTGTGAGAGCGGCAGCAGCAATGTCCGTTGTGGGGGGGGCTTCGGGCCTGAACCGCGAAATGCCCCAGCATTGCTCGCTTCCAGCAGCCGTCAGCCTGGCGCTCCCGAGAGGCTCAGAGAAGCAGGGGGATGACAGCGGCAGCTCCTCGCCTCCGGGCTCCGCGTCCAGCGGTAGACGGCCTCCGTTCGTGGAGGTTCCATGCCTGGCGAACTCGGCCAATCAGAGCCTCGCTGGACCGTCGCTTGCCGTTCATCAGCCCGATTCCTGGCGGTCAGCCGGAGGGGCTTCCCTCTCCCCCGCGCGCACCCCGGGAAGTTCAGCGTAGCAGGGCATTAGGCAGGGCCGTCAGCTTGCATCATGACATCTTCAGATCTCTCGTTGCAACTGTGCGTGCGCACTGTACTGGCTCCCGCTAATTGCTGACCTCAATTTTAAGCGGTGCTGTTGACCTTTAAAGCCCCCCTAAGCTTGGGGACAGGATACCTGAAGAATTACTTCTCCCTATATCTTTTTCTACCCGTCTGGTAAGATCTCCTGTGGGTTCCTCTGTAGTTGACAGCCATGACAGGCCACAGCAGAAAGGGTGGCACTCCAAACGTAGAAGGCCTTACTCTGGCAGGTTCGTTTGCTTCTACTTTGATGTCATTTTAGCATCAGACAAATGTCTTTTTATGTTTTAATTCTTTACTAATTTCTTTACTGCTGTCCTATATTTGCTTTATTTCTGCTGCCTTTTATTATTTATTAAATTTATACATTACTTTGCACTGAAAAAGTAGTCTCAGTGCAATTTACATACACACTGCAGAAATTCATACTCAATGTAATAATGGAAAATCCCAAATCTATATAAATAATAATCAGTACAAAAATGCAAATAAAAATAAAGACCAAGAAATCACAATCTGTTTTTTAAAATGAGAAGCATTTATCTGCAAATAGACAAAATTGCCCCCTGATCACAGTGTAGAACAACATCACAAAAGCTCCCCATAAGTGGATGTTAACAAATATCCAAGTATCTTGGAAAATGCATATGTGTTTGCCTGGCACTGAGCAGATGACAGAGTCAGTACTGGACTAGCTTCCTTGGAGAGAAAGTTCCATAAATGTGAGCTATCATAGACAAAGCCCATTCCCAGCTTCTCTTAGATGGGACTGAGACACAGAGAAGAATCTCTGAAGCTGACCTCAGGAAGTGAGTAGGTTTATATGGTCCTTAAAGTACTGGGGTCCTGGGCACTTTGAATTTGGCTCAGAAATAAATTGGCAGACAACTGGCAAACAGACAAGCGAGGACTGGGCTTATATGTTCAAGATGACTAGTTCCTATCAGCAACCTGAGTGGCAAATTCAATACTATCTGCCATTTCCAAGCTGTTTTCAAAGGTAGGCCAATGTAAAACACCTTGCAGTAATCTTAGAGGTTATGAGAGCACAAACCACTGATGTAGGATATCCCCATCCATTTATAGTATCCTTTTATATTGTGGTGCTTTGATGTGATCATGTTGTGAAACGGGGGTGCAAGGCAAAGGGTCCAAATTCCTCAGAAGGCCACTTCCCCTTTCCCTGGCACTATCCTCTTCTCCCAACCACCAGTCCTTTGTGTTTTCTCAGCCTTTTTGCAATGTCCCCCTGTGTTTAAGTTCAAAATAGCTCTTTGCTGGTATTAAAGAGCTTTAAGCTAAAACATGCTTTTGTCTTTATTGAATTTCACCCTGCCTGCCACTGGAATGCAGCCCCTGAGAGCTTCTTTGAAACAACTGGGCCCCTCTGAACAAAATAGGTTCTGTACTCTAGTGTGGGAGAACAGAAGAGGTTCATTAGCCTACAGCTTGCCTACCCTTATTTCTGTCATGAGGAAACAAGGTGTATTGTGGTGTCTGAATGTAGCCACATAGTCCATGCCAATCAGACTGTCCTGTGGTTATATAACCTGAAGCTTTATATCATTTTTAAAAGAGGGGATTTATATTACTGAAAATGTGGAGTGTCCATGTCTCAGTCTGTTACAATGCACTAAACGATAAATGAAATTGACTGGATTGAAAAAAGAGGACGGATACATAAGGACATGACCAGAACAGAAAATAAAGGAAGTGGGAGAGAATTTGGACTATGTTAGCACAAATAAGGGGGATTCCAGGCTGAGCCATCCTGATGCTAGCAATTAAAATGCATTGTACAGCTGTTCTTTCTCCTTAACAGTTTTTCTGCGATAAGGAAAAAACATAAGAAAGCACAAGTACAACATTTTTCTAGATACCCTGTAACTGAAGCAAGGTGATGGAGCCATAAAACCTCAACAGGAAGCAACCTAATCCATTGAGAGAGTAGCATTTGGTATTAATAGTTGTGCATTTTGTTGGGTAACTAACTGTTCACATCTGGTGTCGACTTTGTGAAATAAAGGGCAGTTATTGACAAAAGGATAGCCACATTTCTGTGACTGAAGGGAAATAATTGCCTGAGCAATATAAGATAGCTAACACCGTACAAAAGAAAGCAAAAACATATAAGCCAAGCATGGAAGATCCACAATTGTACAAGGAAGGAAAATGGGAACATTTTCTGCTAAGGAACCGAAAAGGGAAGCAACTAAGGAGTTAAGTATTGGCAGACTAAAACTCTAGACAGTGACCATGATTTGATAATTCAATCTCCAGCTAGTAAACTGACAGATGTTCAAGGATCTTGCCTGCAAGTGCAGCCCTGACCCTCCTCCCTTTGCTGAGAGCCACAGTTGAATTAGAAGGTGTTAAATTACCTTCCTGTTTCATAAAACTAGGTAACTATTTTCACCAGCTGCAGAACAAGCCAGATTAGTTGATCCTTTTTTGAAATTGATTTAGGGAGTGATCTGGTCCCTAGAATCTGAAGGGTTGCAGGATTTTTGGATTTCCAGTTTCAAAGTTAGAGACTGCTATTCAACTTCACAACTGGGAGTCGCATTCTCCCCCCCCCCCTTCCCCGCATCTCACAAAGAGAACTGTGCCAGCTGCTCTCTGCAGCCTTGGAAGGGGGCTTTCCAGGGGGCTGCATGCATTTGATGTTGGCTGGAGTGGTGGGGGCCATGTGTGCTCGAACATGCACAAACACACACCTCTCAGTGGAGTAAAGGTTGAAATTAAATTTCCCTTCTCTGCCTTCTCTAATCTAGGGTTCACTGGGTGGTAATGATGGAAATGAAAGGCTGTCCCACCTTCCAGCAGTTGCCAGTGAGTATTACTTCTCCACTACTAAACTTTCTACATGAGGCAAACAGGCCAGTCTGTACAGAAAAAGAATACGTGGACAATATCAGAGGTTAGAAATGGCAATATTCAAAAATGGGTGGGAGAACATTTCATCCTCCCAGGACACTTCAAACCATAATCCTGTGCATGTTTAGACAGAAGGAAGGCCTACAATTCACAGCAAGACCGACTGATGTTAAAGTGGCCATTGTAGGGGAAAGGCACGACAAAGAAAAATTAGAGCAAGAGACTGCTGAGTCACACTTCATCAACTTGTTTAATTCCATCACTAGAAGCTTGCATCAGGATAAAGTTTGCTTTAACCACACTGCATATATGAGTTGGTCATATACCGCCAAGATGTTTTCAGCAGCAGTTTAACTGTGGATGGCCATGCTTAAGAGTATAATCATCTCTATCAGTACTTCTCCATTTAATTTCCTTCTGACCTCACTGTTTACAATTCTTCCATCGCTATATATGTTCTTCATAATATTCCAGGCATCTGAAGAAGTGGGCTATATGCTACAAAAGCTTATGCCAAAATAAATTTTAGTTTTTAGGGTACCATAAGACCCTTTGTTCTTATCTGGCAATATGACCTGTTGAACTCACTGGCCCTTAGTTCTGAATAGACATGCAGGGATTTACAGTTCAATGCATAGGGCTGAACTGCAAATATTTTAATGGTAGCATGATCAGAAATGGGAAAACTCAAAAATTATATCCAGATTTGAAATGAATGTGGAGTTTTGGGGAAATGTCTGAATTGGTAAAGTGAGCAAATGTAATACATAATTGCTTTATTAAATTTCTATTTGCGTTTTGCAGAAAATTTGAATGAGATTACAATAAAATCAACAATATAACATTAATAAATGTGCCAACACAGCACTGAAAATGCAGACCTGGTATGCGCATCACAGTGATAATGAGCAGGATGAACCTTATGCAGAGCCCCACCCCACCCCGCTGCCTTAACCTGCTGCCCCCAACATGTTTCACTTGACTCCCCTTCTGCTCTCCTTTTTGAGGAAGCAAGCACCCCTGAACACTCTGTTATGGGTCTTGTGACCTGGAACCCCCTCTGCATGTGGCTCAGCCACCCCAACCCCAGTTTTGCCAGATAGGATTGCCTCAAGTAGCATGGGGGCTAGCAATGTGACTACTGGCTCAGAGGTATTTCTGGGGACAGTCCAGGCACCCCTCTGCCAGGTCCCGCATGGGCATGAGGCACCCCAGCAGGCAGATGTCCCATTTACCTCTTCTGATCTGTGCAATTGGAAGCACCACTTCCTCAGGCAGAGGTTGGGGGGAGACCCACATGGGCTGGCAGAAGCCATAAACTCCCTGTGCCTAGCCCATGGGGAGATTGCCAGAATATGCTGAGTGCCTTCCTGACTTCTGAAGAGCTAAGCCTGGTAAAGCAA